ACTTGGCATTTACATCAACCCTCATAAATATGCTGTCAAGCTCCATAATGATTTGTAAACATGACGTTAAGGATTTTCTGGTGCATAATTAACAGTTATCAGAAATCTCTACTAAGGCCAGAGGTTTTAGAAATAATTGTTTTCTGTGATAAAAACTAGGGGTGTGCATTGGCACTGCCCTCACGATTCGATTCGATTACGATTCACCAGGTAATGATTCGATTCAATTCGATTCTACGATGCATTGTCTATCGTGGTCATCTCCCTCCGCCTCAGCCATCTTGATTGTTGTTGGTATGCCCCCAGAAGTAATTGAAACTTCACAACTTGTCCATTTGAGGCCAGAAAATAAACAGTGACATAATCGATTATGGCACGTTGCCACATCGATGCTGAATCGTGCATGCCCCGCATTGCAATGCATCGCTGAATCAATTATTGTTGACACCTCTAATAAAAACAGGATTTTTAATCACAGAAGAGGCCAAACCATCGGGTCATATCTGCGTTTTCCCTCCCTGTAAACAGGGTCTCTCTATCTAAACCAGTTTGAGCTCCGTAGTGAGGCTGATTACCAGATTCCTCGGTAGAACCGTCCTGATCCATCTGCTCCGGGTCGTTTTTTAACTTTACATCGCAGTCATCCCAGAGTTAACCCCTGCAAAGTCAATACTGTGTCACATCAAAACATGAATGGAAACGAAAGAAAATCCTCCACCTCCCAATGTTTGAACAGCGTTTATCTCTGGAGGCACAAATAAAAACAAGCAGAGCCACCCAGGAATGCAGCTCGTTAACAGGTATTAAGTTTAAAAGAGGCCAGGCAGCTGCTGCCTCTGTGCGTGTGTGTTTACACCCGCACCGCTCCTCTGGGGACGCTTCATTTATCAAGCATCTGTTCACATTTAGACGGCTTTTAATTCCCTTACATGGGGCAGTCGCTATGAAAATCTTACTGCTGAAGGATTGTGGCTTTTTTAAGGCTTTCTTTTAAAAATCAGAGTGAAAAATATGCCTTACAGTTTTATTTATGATGTTTATATAATTGTTAACTAGGCTTATTTACTTTTTAACTTTACTTTTTAAATTTTCAATTAGCTTTTTACCTTTTTTTCTTGTTAATAAATTTTTTCAACTTAATTTACAGAAGGTAATATATGATATATCATATATCACATACACACACATATATATGCAAGGGCTCATCTAATTGGTCAAATGCCAAAATAAGATGAACAGCCACGTAGCAGCATCTTTGCTGAATGGCTGGATATAGATCTCGTGCTTCTAGACCTCACTGAGGGACAGAGGCACTCTATTTGTAAGGTAAGGGCTATACAAGTGATCAAAAACGCTAACTTGCCCTATAAAGGGTTAACCATGAGGTCAAAAACACTTTATTTTATTGCAGTAATTCAATACATTCAAAAAAGTTACTTTCTACGGCTTCCTCCCCCCCTGCAGTCCCACCAGCCCCCCACAGGGGGCGTGCCTCGGTATTTGGGAACCATTTTTTTAATGAAATAATACAGTTAGTAAATTCTGTCTGAACAGCCTCTGTAGAAGATTGTAGACATAAGCATAGGGAGGGTCTGACGGGTGGAGATGTTCTGATGAGTTTTTTGATTAACGACCTCACCTCTGGAGGAACAGATAAAGTCCAGTTTCCACCGCCTGCCACTTCTACTTTCACTGAATTATCTTTGAAAGAGTCAGTTGTCACTTCAAACCTTTTCCTCCATCCACCCTCCCCCACCACTTATTAGTTAATGAGTTGCTGCTCCAAGGCGGGATGAGAAAGAAAACAAGCTGGCTGCAGCAGAACGGCTGAGGAGCTCCTCAGGTTTCATAAACAGGCTCCTGTTTCTTTGCTTCATCGTGTCCGTCTCCAGCAGAAGGCCACATCTGCTGGTCAGATCCACAGTTTGGTTCGATGCTGTGACAGCTAAGCTGCAGGTTGGGTAAATGTAAACCTACAAAGCAACTCCTCATGGAGTAAAACATTGGTTGAAGATGTCAATACATAGATTTTCATTAAAACAAGGACGACTAATGATGAAGAAAATAAAGATTAAGACTGTTGATTCGGTTTTAAAGCCTTTACCAGGTTTCAGAGATTTTTCAGCTGCCTACTCTATAGACCTGTTCTTCTATACCTATCATTCATCTGATGCTGTGTCCAGCTGTCAGTGAGCCCCTCACGGTGCTCCAATCAGAGACGAGCTCCCAGCACAGTGCTCAATCGGAGACGAGCTCCCAGCACGGTGCTCCAATCAGAGACGAGCTCCCAGCACAGTGCTCAATCGGAGACGAGCTCCCAGCACGGTGCTCCAATCGGAGACGAGCTCCCAGCACAGTGCTCAATCGGAGACGAGCTCCCAGCACGGTGCTCCAATCAGAGACGAGCTCCCAGCACGGTGCTCCAATCGGAGACGAGCTCCCAGCACGGTGCTCCAATCAGAGACGAGCTCGCAGCACGGTGCTCCAATCAGAGACGAGCTCCCAGCACGGTGCTCCAATCAGAGACGAGCTCGCAGCACGGTGCTCCAATCAGAGACGAGCTCCCAGCACGGTGCTCCAATCAGAGACGAGCTCGCAGCACGGTGCTCCAATCAGAGACGAGCTCGCAGCACGGTGCTCCAATCAGAGACGAGCTCCCAGCACAGTGCTCAATCGGAGACGAGCTCCCAGCACGGTGCTCCAATCAGAGACGAGCTCCCAGCACAGTGCTCAATCGGAGACGAGCTCGCAGCACGGTGCTCCAATCGGAGACGAGCTCGCAGCACGGTGCTCCAATCGGAGACGAGCTCGCAGCACGGTGCTCCAATCGGAGACGAGCTCGCAGCACGGTGCTCCAATCGGAGACGAGCTCGCAGCACGGTGCTCCAATCGGAGACGAGCTCGCAGCACGGTGCTCCAATCGGAGAAGAGCTCCAAGCACGGTGCTCCAATCGGAGAGGAGCTCGCAGCACGGTGCTCCAATCGGAGACGAGCTCGCAGCACGGTGCTCCAATCGGAGACGAGCTCCCAGCACGGTGCTCCAATCGGAGACGAGCTCCCAGCACGGTGCTCCAATGGGAGACGAGCTCGCAGCACGGTGCTCCAATCGGAGACGAGCTCGCAGCACGGTGCTCCAATCGGAGACGAGCTCGCAGCACGGTGCTCCAATCAGAGACGAGCACGGTGCTCCAATCGGAGACGAGCTCGCAGCACGGTGCTCCAATCGGAGACGAGCTCGCAGCACGGTGCTCCAATCGGAGACGAGCTCGCAGCACGGTGCTCCAATCGGAGACGAGCTCCCAGCACGGTGCTCCAATCGGAGACGAGCTCCCAGCACGGTGCTCCAATCGGAGACGAGCTCCAAGCACGGTGCTCCAATCTCGCAGCACGGTGCTCCAATCGGAGACGAGCTCCAAGCACGGTGCTCCAATCGGAGACGAGCTCGCAGCACGGTGCTCCAATCGGAGACGAGCTCGCAGCACGGTGCTCCAATCGGAGACGAGCTCCCAGCACGGTGCTCCAATCAGAGACGAGCTCCAAGCACGGTGCTCCAATCTCGCAGCACGGTGCTCCGATCAGAGACGAGCTCCAAGCACGGTGCTCCAATCGGAGACGAGCTCGCAGCACGGTGCTCCAATCGGAGACGAGCTCCCAGCACGGTGCTCCAATCGGAGACGAGCTCCCAGCACGGTGCTCCAATCGGAGACGAGCTCCCAGCACGGTGCTCAATCGGAGACGAGCTCCCAGCACGGTGCTCCAATCGGAGACGAGCTCCCAGCACTGTGCTCAATCGGAGACGAGCTCCCAGCACGGTGCTCAATCGGAGACGAGCTCGCAGCACGGTGCTCCAATCGGAGACGAGCTCCCAGCACGGTGCTCCAATCGGAGACGAGCTCGCAGCACGGTGCTCCAATCGGAGACGAGCTCCCAGCACGGTGCTCCAAACGGAGACGAGCTCGCAGCACGGTGCTCCAATCGGAGACGAGCTCCCAGCACGGTGCTCCAAACGGAGACGAGCTCGCAGCACGGTGCTCCAATCGGAGACGGGCTCCAAGTACGGTGCTCCAATCGGAGACGGCCTCCAAGTACGGTGCTCCAATCGGAGACGAGCTCGCAGCACGGTGCTCCAATCGGAGACGAGCTCCCAGCACGGTGCTCCAAACGGAGACGAGCTCGCAGCACGGTGCTCCAATCGGAGACGAGCTCGCAGCACGGTGCTCCAATCGGAGACGAGCTCGCAGCACGGTGCTCCAATCGGAGACGGGCTCCAAGTACGGTGCTCCAATCAGAGACGAGCTCGCAGCACGGTGCTCCTGTCGTTACTGCTGAGGTGGAGAGCAGATGTGAAGGCCAGAGCCGCGATCTGAACTAAACAACGTGCAGATTTGATTCCAGAGGATCGGCTGCAGCTGTTTCTGTCCTGTCCAGGTCTCTCCTCCTGCTGTCAGCTGCTGGATCTTCATTTTCGGTTATAGTTTTTCCTCTATTTCCTCATATCAACCATGGAAACATGGTTTTACCCAAGTCTTCTACAGAATGTCTGCCTCATCCCAAACTTTACTTCCATCCAGAGGTCAAAATGTTTCTCAGAATATGAGCGAGATGATTAATTTAGAAAAACAAACAAACATCCACAGGACGTCTAGAGTGCAGAATAAAAGGCTTAATGAGACATAAAAAGTAGTGTAATTTTGAGGACTTGACAGCAGCTTTCAGTTCTTTCCAAAGATTCTGGATTAGATTCAGGTCTGGACTTTGACCAGGTCATTCTAACAGCTGGATAAGTTTATCTGTGAACGGTTCCATTCTAGATGTTGCTTTCTGTTTTGGATCCAATCTGGTTTCAGGACCACGTATAGATGTGGCTTAAAGAGACCACATCCTCGCAGCTGTTTAAAACACTGCTGGTCTTCCCCATTTAACCAAGCAACCAATGAACTCATTCAACCTGGTCACTTTAAAACTGCCATCATTGTTCTGCTGTTTCTGTCTGTTTCCAGATTCTAACCATGAAGCTGCTGCAGAGGCCATCGAGAACATGGCGGACGCGGTCACGCATGCTCGATTCGTGGGAACAGACCCTGCAAGTGATGAAGTGGTCCTGATGAAAATCCTGCAGGTAGATTTTATTTTTACTCAGCAGGAACCTTCGAAGGAGGAAAGAGTTTTTCTGTTTTTATCGGGGAAGAATGGATCCATCCATTTTATGTTCTTATTGACGTTGAAGAGAATCCAAATGTTTCTTGTTTTTGGTGCAAACTGTCGAGCTGCGTGTGGCGCTGTGTTTCTGTGATGTAGGAGGTCGGATGGCCGCAGCCGTACGACGAGACCAGATCAGAACGCAGCAGGCGGCCATTCCTTAGAAAAACAGCTCATTAGAGCATGAAGAGAAGGAGTTTGTTTTATCGATGGCACATTCAGGACATTCTAGAAGAGGAATTATAGAATGGCATCCAGTGCAGCCATTGGTCAGCACTGTCTGAGGAGGAGGTGTCACTTATTGTCATCAATCTTTGACCTCTCCTCTCCACCCATAACCTTGCCGTCTCTGATGACCATGAGCTCAATATAGGGCTGGGAAATGAATTGTGTTTGCAATATACAGTGGGGCAAAAAAGTATTTAGTCAGCCACCAATAGTGCAAGTTCTCCCACTTAAAAAGATTAGAGAGGCCGGTAATTTTCATCATAGATATACCTCAACTATGAGAGACAAAATGAGAAAAAAAAAATCCAGAAAATCACATTTTCTGATTTTTAAAGAATTTATTTGCAAAATATGGTGGAAAATAAGTATTTGGTCAATAAAAAAAGTTCATCTCAATACTTTGTTATATACCCTTTGTTGGCAATGACAGAGATCAAACGTTTTCTGTAAGTCTTCACAAGGTTTTCACACACTGTTGCTGGTATTTTGGCCCATTCCTCCTCTAGAGCAGTGATGTTCTGGGGCTGTCGCTGGGCAACACGGACTTTCAACTCCCTCCAAAGATTTTCTATGGGGTTGAGATCTGGAGACTGGCTAGGCCACTCCAGGACCTTGAAATGCTTCTTACGAAGCCACTCCTTCGTTACCCGGGCGGTGTGTTTGGGATCATTGTCATGCTGAAAGACCCAGCCACGTTTCATCTTCAATGCCCTTGCTGATGGAAGGAGGTTTTCACTCAAAATTTGACGATACATGGCCCCATTCATTCTTTCCTTCACACGGATCAGTCGTCCTGGTCCCTTAGCAGAAAAACAGCCCCAAAGCATGATGTTTCCACCCCCATGCTTCACTGTAGGTATGGTGTTCTTTGGATGCAACTCAGCATTCTCTCTCCTCCAAACACGACGAGTAGAGTTTTTACCGAAAAGTTCTATTTTGGTTTCATCTGACCATATGATATTCTCCCAGTCATCGTCTGGATCATCCAAATGCTCTCTAGCAAACTTGAGACGGGCCTTGACATGTACTGGCTTAAGCAGGGGGACATGTCTGGCACTGCAGGATTTGAGTCCCTGGCGGCGTAGTGTGTTACTGATGGTAGCCTTTGTTACTTTGGTCCCAGCTCTCTGCAGGTCATTCACTAGGTCCCCCCGTGTGGTTCTGGGATTTTTACTCACCGTTCTTGTGATCATTTTGACCCCACGGGGTGAGATCTTGCGTGGAGCCCCAGATCGAGGAAGATAATCAGTGGTCTTGTATGTTTTCCATTTACTAATAATTGATCCCACAGTTGATTTCTTCACACCAAGCTGTTTACCTATTGCAGATTCAGACTTCCCAGCCTGGTGCAGGTCTATAATTTTGTTTCGGGTGTCCTTTAACAGCTCTCTAGTTTTGGCCATGGTGGAGTTTAGAGTGTGACTGTTTGAGGTTGTGGACAGGTGTCTTTTATACTGATAACGGGTTCAAACAGGTGCCATTAATGAAGGTAACGAGTGGAGGACAGAGGAGCCACTTACAGAAGAAGTTACAGGTCTGTGAGAGCCAGAAATCTTGCTTGTTTGTAACTGGCCAAATACTTATTTTCCACCATATTTTGCAAATAAATTCTTTAAAAATCAGACAATGGGATTTTCTGGATTTTTTTTTCTCATTTTGTCTCTCATAGTTGAGGTATATCTATGATGAAAATTACCGGCCTCTCTCATCTTTTTGAGTGGGAGAACTTGCACTATTGGTGGCTGACTAAATACTTTTTTGCCCCACCGTAATCACAATTTAACAAGATGAGAAGAGTAAGTAGCTAGGTTTTTTATTCCAGAGCTTTATGCTTAAAGGAAAAGTCCGGTCAGTAAAACCAATAATCAATGGATCATTATTTATACCTAAAACGAATACTTCCGCGGAGATTTAATGAATTTAGTTTTAATCAGTAAAAAAGTTGTCATCGCCATCACTGAGTCTGGGAGCGGCCATTTTTGCCCAAATATAGTAACCCCTTCCAGCAGTGACGTCACGGTGCGGTAAGCCTACCACCATTCTCCCGCTTTACAAGCAAAATCAGTGGGAACTACTAGACACATCTGCAATCAACAACAATTATTGAAGATTTCCAGAGGACTTCACCATTGAAATTCACCAGAGCTATAGTGAAACTGACAATGCCCACGTGCATGGCAGCTGAATACTTCGGGTAACGGGGAAAAAATGAATTATTCCACCTTTCTGATGCCTGATCCTCCACGGACATGTTGATCGTCTGATCGCCAACTTGAAGAGGGAGGATTTGCCATTGAACTTCTGGCCAGAGAAAAAACCCGTAATATGTAGCCAACATTTGGAAGAAGAATGTTTTCAAGATGACTTGGATAATAGCGCGTTGTGACAAACACCAGATACAGCACTGGGACTTGATCAACAGCCGATACCGCACCGTGACGTCACAAACCAGTAGGTGGCAGTAGTGTTCTTTGACAAACATGGATGCCTCCAGTAAAGCACATTCAAATGAAAATTACTCTGAATTAAAAACACTTATTATTTATTGAACAGTATGTAATAATTTCATATGTAAAGCACTTTCAGAAGTTTGAATTCTGAATATGAGCAGACTTCTCCTTTAAGGTGGTTTTGCAACGACACAGATGGGAAGAGACGGATGCAGCTAGCCCGCAGGTTCATGCCTGCAGATAGAAGTTAGACCTTTTTCACAGAAAGGTTACAGTTAAGTTCTACAAACATGGTTTGTGGAAAGCCACGCTTCCAAGGTCATGAAAAATCCTAAATTCTGTAGTAAAACATTTATATGATTGTGGTTATTGCAAAGGAAAATGGAAATATAATCGCAATATTAGTTTAAAATGTATATAGACCTGCAACTAAAAATTATCCTGGAAATTGATTAATCTGTCAATTAATATTTCAATTTATCCGTCAATAATCAGACAGCGAAAGATTGTTTAAAGAAGACTTTTTACTAAATCAAACCATGTGGAGCTAAGATTTCTGGATAGAACAGATAGACTAAGAAGTTTTTTAACTGTAAATGCAAAATGTTTATATATTTTTACAATCTTGTGTGGGTCACTCTGTCAGCTAAAGGCATGTTTTACAGTCCCTATACTCCAGCTAATGATTAATCAAGTACTAAATTAATTGATTAATTAGTCAGATGAATTGTTTGAGCTCTATTTAAAATCACTATTTTTGTTTCCAGGCAGAATCTTTCAGCCCTAGCTCAATATAAGCTTTAAGATTTGGAGATGCTCATCCAATCCCGCGTTTTGCTTTACCTAGGTCCCACCCACCCCTGTTAAGATGCACCCTGCTTGGCATTTTTCTGTCCCTCTGTGTTTTTATCACAGGTCTCATTTATTTGTGCTTCCTTTATCATCAGTTTCTACTGATAAAGTATCATTCTTCTGAGTTTTTATGTCGTCGTCCTCCTTCCGATGCTGTCTGTCAGCATCAGAGCTCAGTAATGGCTCTGAGTCGTGCACGGCCACCCTAAAGCAGCTGCGATCTTCTCGGTTTGTCTTCCCCAGGTTCTTCGGACTCTGCTGCTGACGCCAGTTGGAGCTCATCTGACCAATGAGTCTGTGTGTGAAATCATGCAGTCGTGCTTCAGAATTTGCTTTGAGATGCGCCTCAGTGGTACGTTTTCCTCCAGCTGACCCAGGCTAATGTTCATGTCCTTCAGTTGGTAAACATTGCTGTGTTTTAGTCCAAAGTTTGGACATAAACCAGATTTATTTCTGTGGCCTCTGAAGTGACGACATGGATCTCCCTGAGAAAACGCAGAGACTGAAAAGAAGTGAACCAAACAAAGTTAAAAATTTAAATCACTGGCTGAGGGTGGTGTTCAATTCAATTCAGTTTATTTCCATAGCACCAATTCACAACACACGTCCTCTTAAGGCACTTTACAGTTCAACCAGATCATCCAGTCAGATTAATTCAGTTTTCTATCTAAGGAAAACCAGTTGATTGCATTGACTCATTGGCTCGAAGACAATCCCTCACACTAAGCATGCTTGTAGCGACAGTTGAGAAGAAAAACTCCCTTTTAACTCTTCCTCTTCCTGCTCACGTTTCAATGAAAAACCCCAAGTCTAATCCTTCCTAAACTGAATCCAAAGCTGAGTCAAACGAGAACTGTTAAAAAGTGTGTTGCCATCTTCCTTGTTTTGCTTTCTCCAGCGTCGCGCAGCTTTGTCGTCCCGCTCTCAAAACCCCGCCCACTTTGCATCCAGACATTCAAAACACATGTCTGGGTTGTGATTGGCCCGCCAGTTCTAGGGCCTGGGGCATTGATCGAGGCTAGACCAACTCGCAGGCAAAGATGACTTTGGCCTCTGGCGGTGGGGCTAGTTTACTAGGCCATGTAGGTCTATAATTCACCAATTCATCTGGGTCAAGAGACGGTTCATTAAGGAAAGGTTTAATTACAGGCTGGACAGAGCATTACTTTTCCTTTTCTGGGAAAACCATTTTTTCTCCCCATTAGAAGTTAAAAACATCAGAAAATTCCTAGCAGACCAAATGCCTGCAAGTTAATACAAATAAAATGACATTAACAGTTTTCTAACAGACACAGACAGCGTTTTTAGGTCAATCTTTTCTACCTGTATGGTATAAATGTTGAACAAACATCATTTTGTTCCAGTTTTAGAATGAATCTTTATTTTGTGCTGAGTCAATAAATCCAAAGAAACCATTTATAACCATAAATGATACGAATAACGCCCATCAGATGAACACTGGTCCTTCATCTGAACACATGAGATTATATTCAACTCTCCAGGAACTCATCACTGTGAATTAGAATAAAGTTTATTAGTAGCCATTTTCTTTTAACTTGAACTTAAAATAAAATTAGATAATTAGTAATTAAAAGTCACCACCAATAGCTCTAAAGCAAAGGCAGGAAGAAAAAAAGTCTCCTTGGGATCTGCCTTTTTTGTACACCGAATTTTAAACTGTGAATTTTTTAAAAACTTAATTTTTAATGCTGAATTTTGTTACCCATTGAATGCCTTACACTGAATTTTTATCTGGTGAAAATTCGCCTGCCAAAAATTTTCCCTGCAAAAGATTTAACTGCAAAAAATTTGCCTGCAAAAGATTTAACTGCAAAAATTTTCCCTGCAAAAGATTTAACTGCAAAAAATTTGCCTGCAAATGTGTTAACCTTCTGGTGAATTCAAGCCAAAGCAGTCTAATGCTGCATTCACAGCGGGGGCAGCAAAAGCAGCAAAATCGCGTCTGCTGCTTCATTTTTGCTGCTTGTACCAGTAAGTTCTGACGCGCGGCTGAAGCAACTTTGCTGCTCTGACTGCGCGGTCCAAAAGTGGCTCTGACGCGCGTAGGGCAGAGCTTCACTATCCTTTCTCTGCCTTGCAGCTATATTTGCTGTGATCAGTGGGAATAAAGTAGTTTTAATATGTTTTTAAGTGAGAAAATACACCTGAAAACTTCATCAGTGCAGTCAGTTCATCCAGATTACAATCCTGCCTCCCAATATTATTTCTGTCGGAGCCGCTCAGACCCCCACATACCGGCGGTGCGCCGACAGAAGGAATCCATTCATCAGCAGCCTCTGGCGGGTCGCCTCCTCGCGGTTTACCGCGGTGGCTGGTAGGTGTTTTTCATCTAAATAATCCGATCTGCAGGCACCACAATAATAAAAGCGAACATATTCTGCCGGCAGATGTATATATTTTAAGTTAATTATGCGTTAATAAACTGTTTAAGAGGAGAAATCAGAGCGGTCTGTGTCATCAGTGCTGTGTCTCTCCCCCAGCCAGCTCCCAGATCAGCTTCTCTGATTGGTTGACGCGGCGCGTCGAGCAGCAAAAATTCAATTTTTCCATCTCGAGCAGCAACGCGTTTGCGGCGCGTCACGCGCGTCAGATGCCAAAACGCGCCCGACGCGCTGCTTCAGCTGCTCAGACGCGCTGCGCTTGCTGCTCGAAACGCGCCGCGGGACCTTTTGCTGCGCCTTGACGCGCGTCAACCATTGACTTTGCATGTAAACTCGCTGCTTCTGTCGCGCCAGCTGTCCCCGGTGTGAACGCAGCATAAACTCCATGCAATCGAGCAGCTTCTAGCCAATGAAATAAGCTCATTTGGTCAGAAAGAAAAAAAAGTTTGCCACTGGCCCCTTCTTTCAGATCAAACCAAGAGTCTTGGTAGACAGGGGTGCCGACCTAGCTGTGATCAGCTCAGGTATTTCACCCAGTCCGATTAAATGAAAAACTCTAATGCCTGTCTATGAATAGCTACCATATTTTTTGTAATCATATCTATTTAACAAGAAAAACTCCTCATTCAGCTTCATTTAGCCAGGAACAAAGCTATGCCCAACTGTTGTGTCACGTGACCAAATGCACTAATTTCATTGGCTAGAAGCTGCTCGACTGCATAGAGTGTAGATTGCTTCATCAAAAGGTCAACACATTTGCAGTCAAATGCAGGCAAATTTTTTTGCAGCGGAATTTTTAGCAGTCACATTTTTTCCAGATAAAAATTCAGTGTGAGGAATTCAATGTGTAAAAATGCAATGTTTAAAATATGGTGTACAAAACAGGCAGATTCCAGCGACACTGTTTTACTTCCATAGGATCCTGGAATAACGTTGTAGGGATGGGATCTAATATTCGACTTCAGTGAAATCAGAAGGACTTCAGAAGAGCTGACAGTCGTGCTTCTAGGTTCTGTTTCTTCCAATCTACCTCAAACGTAGAAGGGAATATTCCAGATTATATGAGATTTATTAAAGCTGTCTAAATAATGATGTTTCTGCAGGATAACAGTAAATCTAAGGCTCATTGATGGTCAGGTGGTTAGAGATCAGGGCACTTACAGGTTGCAGCTTTTAACACCAGGCTGTCGCTTTGGATCCTAAATACTCCCCAGATGCTGCTACATGCTACATGCTAGCTTCTATGTTTAACTGCAGTGAGGGAAAGAAAGCTGATTCTTATTATTTCATGTTTTTCTGTATTTTTCACATTGGAATTTAAATTTTTTCTGTAGAGCTCCTGAGGAAATCTGCAGAACACACACTGGTGGACATGGTGCAGCTTCTGTTCTCCAGGTAAACGCCTCTGAAATGTAGAATCAGTGATGCTCCTCTTTTCTTCACAATGATTGAAATGATCAGAAATCTGATTTTAAAGCAGGCAACTTATTTTGATCATAAATAGCAGAGGAAATGTACATAAAGTGTAGCTCAGAGCTTCCTTTCTGATTTTAAGGAGTCTGGCAATTTACTGATAAATCCTTTTGTATTTAAATTCAAGTTTTAATTCAGTTCAGTTTTATTTCCATAGCACCAATTCAAAACCCATGTCATATCAAGGCACTTTGCAGTTCACCAGATGATCCATTCAAATTGGTTCAAAGTTTTCTATCTAAGGAAAACCAGTTTATTGCATCGACTCATTGACTCTTCAGCAATCCCTTATACTATTCATGCTTGTAGCGACAGTGGAGAGGAAAACTCCCTTTTAACAGGAAGAAACCTCCATTAGAACCAGGCTCAGTGTGAGCGGCCATCTGCTGAGGCCGACTGGGGTTCAAGGAGACAGAAGCAGACATAGAAAAAGAAGCAGAGATACAAAAGGAACTTGTCAATCAGCTCCACAGGCGGCCTTGTCCAGGAAACACACAGCATGGCAGACGAGCTCCAAGCCAGCTGCCATGTCAGAGGATGAAGAGAGCACATCCAGTTAGTCACAGTCAGAGAAACGAGGCTAAACACTGAAAAACAGGCCGAGCTGCAAAATCTATAATTTTCTCTCCAGGATGGAGTCACAGCCAAACAGGAACAGACCAGATGAAGCTACTGTGAGAAAAAGCAGAGAGAGCAGAATGTTAGAGATTGAAATGTCAAATACTGCAGAATGGACAGATAGAGATCGAATAATGAAAAAGGGGTCTCTATGTCCTCCAGCAGTCTAAGCCTATAGCAGCATAACTATAGAGATAGCTCAGGATAACCTGAGCCACTCTAACTATAAGCTTTATCAAAAAGGAAAGTTTTAAGTCTAGCCTTAAAAGTAGACAGGGTGTCTGCCTCACGGACTAAAACTGGTAGTTGGTTCCACAGGAGAGGAGCCTGATAACTAAAAGAGCGAACAGAGCGAAGTGCTCTGTTAGGAACATAAGGAACAATCAGATCTCTGATATCAGATGGAGCTTGGCCATTTAAGGCTTTATATGTGAGAAGAAATATGTCTCCTTTCTTCCATTTTTTGTTAAACAAGAAAGTAAAAGACATAAAAACTGAACATAGACAAACATCCTTTTTCATCCAAATTAATACTGTGTTTAATTTCCTCATAAAAAAAATTCCTGATTATGCTCCGCAAATATGTAAATGTAAATCTAAGTGCATTTTATCTTGAATTGAGGAGGTAAGTTGATGATTTACATTTAAAATAAGAAAAAAAAAACAGCAATTCCATTTTCTTATTTCAAGTGGATATTTTCTAATTATCTTATCTGAAGAATAAAAAAAATCTTATTCCATCCCAGGAATAAAGTTTTTATTATTTTGCGCCGATGCCATTTTTTGGCCCCGATACCGATACCCGATACCTGGCTGTGCAGTATCGGCTGATACCAAAATAATGTAAAATAATTGCCATCACGGCTTTGTCAAGCTGCTGCCTACCTTTGTGAAGCTGGAAAAAAATTTAATACAAAGTGAATCCAGTAGAACGTTTTATTGCCTACCAGGAGTGGGTGACAATAGTTGAATAAACTTATGGCTCTCAAAATGGTATCAGTGCCCTATTTGTTGGTACTCGCCGATACCGATACCACCATTTTAGGGCAGTATTGGGGCCCCGTCTGGTACTGGTATCGGTATCGGTGCAACACTAAATAAAACCATCATCTGTGGAAGTCCTCCAAGTTTTTCTCAAGTTTAGCTTTTTGCAGCAGATTAAACCACCTTTTACAGTAAACTGATTGACAGCCTCTCCCTGCTCTGTTATAATGAAAGTTTTTGTTCCTTGGGCACATTTTTCCTTAAAGCCAATGCCTTCCTGGGCTCATTGAGGACACTTTCTGATCATCATCCACTTCTCCATCATTTGCATACACCCTGAGCCCCACCATAGAAATGCTTTTGTGTGCCGGCTGCCCTTTCACCCCAATAAAAGGGGATAATGAGGAGCAGACACTCCCAGCCTTTAAGGAGGAGCCTGCTGAAAGTATCAGGCCTGTTAATCTGTTAGCCCCACAGATCATCCCATAATAAAGCTAGCAATGCAGCACTTTATTAACATGGACTCTGTGTCATGGGGGGGGACATGTCTCAATTAGCAGCTAAGCTTTAGTGTCTACAGAAAGCCTCATTTCAGCAGGATTTCAGGAAAATTCAGACTTTCCCACATTGAGGTTCATTTTTCACAAACTCTTTGAATCAAAGTTTAAAGCTTTTAATAAAACAATGTTTCGGAAGGAGCAGCCTTATCATGCAACAATAAGGTTAAAAGCCCTTTTTTAGTTTTTTTTTCCTCTACCACCTCTATAACTGATATCATCGGTGTGATTATTAGCATAAAGCTAACCTTGATTCACAGAGGCTGGCTGCAAAGCCAAGCCTAACAATTCATCAACGAGCCAAAAGCTGAGGACAAACTGAGAGATGGTAAAATAAATGCACATAAAAAAAAAAAAAAATATCCATCAATTTTCTTCCACTTTATCCGGGGCCGGGATGAGGAGGCAGCAGGCTAAGTAGAGATGTCCAGACTTCCCGATCCACACACACCTCCTCCAGCTGCTCTGGGAGGACCCTGAGGCAACACCAGGACAGCTCAGAGACATAGTCCCTCCAGCGTGTCCTGGGCCTTCTACAAAGCCTCCTCCCAATGGGACATGCCTGGAACACCTCCTGAGGGAGGCGACCACGAGGCATCCGGAACAGATGCCCAGGCCACCTTGACTGGCTCCTCTCGTCGTGGAGGAGCAACATCTCTACTCCGAGCTCCCCCCGAATATAACTGAGCTCCTCACCCGACCCCGAAGGGTTCAGCCAGCCACCCTGAGAAGGAAACTCATTTCGGCCACTTGTATTAGGGATCTTGTCTTTCTGTCATTAACCAGATCTCATGACCATTGGTGAGGGTGGGAACGTAGATTGATCGGTAAATCAAGCGCTTTGCCCATTGACTCGATACAGGAACTGCATCACTAATGACGCTGCACCAATCTGTTATCGTTTTACCCTCCATCTGTCCCTCACTCGTGCACAACACCCTGAAATACTTGAACTCCTCCACTTAAGACAAGGTTTCTCTACCCACCTGAAGAGGGGAGTCCACCTTTCTCCGGTGGAGAACCATGGCCTCAGCTTTGGAGGTGCTGATCCTCATCCCAGCCGCTTCATACTTGGCTGCAAACTGCCCCAGTGCACGCCGAAGGTCCCGGTCTGATGAGGCCAACAGGACATCATCATGTGCAAACAGCAGAGATGATATCCTGAGGTTCCCAAACCGGACACCCTCTGGTCCCTGGCTGCGCCTCGGAATTCTGTCCATAAATGTAACGACCAGAACCGGTGACAAAGGGCAGCCCTGGTGGAGATCAACATGCACCGGGAACAGGTCTGACTGATTACTTACAAAAGACGACATCGGTCTTCCAGAAAACCAAAGAATCATCACAGAAATCTAACTGAGCTTGTTGGAAGCAGTGATGATGGTTAGAAAGCTGCAAAAAGACGTATTAGTAAACTAAAAAACAGCTTTAAACGTTTGAGTGAAAAATGAGACGATCCTCCAATGAAATTAATTTTTATGCCCTTGAAATAAAATAATTACACCGATACAATTTTGAAAGTTTATTCAACTATTGTCACCCATTCCAGGTAGGCAATAAAAAGTTCTACTGGATTCACTTTGTATTAGTCTGTTTTCAGCTTCACAAAGGTAGGCAGCAGTTTGACAAAGCCATGATGGCAATTATTTACATCCAAGTAGTATGCAGTTCTCATATATACACACACATATCAATTAACAAATGGTATTGGTATGGTATCGGCTAATTCTGCACAGCCAAGTATCGGTATAGGGCCAAAAAATGGCTGTGGCGCAACACTAGCTATTACAGCTATTCCTTTTTGTTCACATTAATTATGTTTTTGATAAAAAAAAAAAAAACTTTCACAAAATGCCATCAGAACGCTTATAATATTCAGTGTGTGTCAGTGTCCACCATATTGGATCAGTCCATTTGCTGCACATGTTCAGAAAGGTCCAAACAGGCAGCAGCAAACCATTTGAAAACAAACAATGCGAAGAGCAGTGTTGCCAACTTAGCGCTTTAGTTGCTATATTTAGTGACTTTTCAGACCCCTCTAGCACTTTTATTTTAAAAAAGCGCCTAGCACAACATCTGGAGAGTTTTTTCTGCAGCTGGAGACTTTGCAATAACATCTAAAAGCAGCAAACTCTGCTCTCCAGAGCCAGTAGATTGGTAACCCCGCCTCCTCCTCTCCTCTATCTTGTCTGCTGTCATGATTCATGCAGCTATTATTTCATCCAAATGAAAAATGGAGAACAGAGAAGCAGATCATGGCTTGTCTACAGTGAAAAGAAGGACTGGGTTATTTACTTTGGCCTTTTTGGAAACACAGGAAGGAGCAATCAGCTAAGTGAGCTTAGTGCTTGGAAAAAAATCTTTCATTCCTTTAGAGACAGCATGAAAAGTCAGCTGAGTACAAAACATAGAGATGAAAACAAGAAGAAAAGGGACAAGAAGAGAGGGACACAACCTAGAACAGATAATGGATGTTTATTCTATTAACATTTCTCTATCTGTATAATGGTTCTGTTTTATGTGTTGTCTTCTCAATTCAGAGGGCCCCCTGCTTGTCTTTGCTCAGGGCCCCAAATTTCCTAAATCTGCCCCTGGTCTAATGGATTCATTATTCTAAATCTGAGGATGGATATAAAGCTGTTTTATGAGCAGTTAGATCAACCCTGATTCCAATAAATGGAATTAGATTTTTGTTTTCATTAAATCTAGTGAAACTGTAGAAGCTTTCAAAGGGGAACTCAGCCTTCTGCTGTGTCATACGCTGCAGACCTGATGAGAAAGAAGGAGTTTTATCAGAAGCTGTGAATGTAAAATGAGTGGATTATGAAGCTTTTCTTGCCTTTGGCCTCAAAGGCAGCAAGTTCGTTCAGGTGGACGAAGTGCCTCGTTGGTTGATGGTCCTCTCTTTTTCTCTCTGCAGGCTGCCTCAGTTCAAAGAGGAGGCAAAGAGTTATGTGGGAGCCAACATGAAAAAGGTAACATGATAAGGATGATAATATTCCGGTTTGTTTCCATGGTGATGGGTTTGCTTGTGGTTTTCTCACTGTCTGTGGCTGTGTAGTCTGGTGAACGCTGCTCGCTTTAAGAACCCCTCTCCTTATTATGCGATGGTGAATCAATCCAGCTGTTCTCCTGAATTAACTCCACCCTTTACTGGATTGAAGGCTTGGTTTGCTTAAAAGTCTTCAGCTGTTAAATATAATTTGGAAATGAATCGATTTTCAGTCAAACCAGAGAAATGGAGCCGTTCATGCAGCAGTGACTTTACAATAGATTTAATGAGCAAATGCAGAAAATCTTTGCATCATTAGAAGCAAAGACTGATGCTGCAGGTTTTAACATTTCTAGCTAGTTTGGGTATTTATAAACTGTTTCTCCATAGTTCATAAAAAATGTTTTAGTGCAGCAATAATAATCAGAGCTGCTCTCTGTTCCTTTGATATAACAATCCACTCTATCATTTGGAGTGTAACTCCTTAATATTTATTAATTTTTCATATGCAGAATGTCTGCAAAAAAGATGACAGCTTGCAGGTAGTGTCTGTCTCTGGCAAACAAACTCCTGGATCAGCTTTTCTGGTTGGTTGATGCTCCGGCGTCCAGCTGCAAAAGTTCAGTTTATTGAACTTCAGCCTGGAACGCTCTAAATGCTCAGTTGGACCTCTGGACACCATCTCCCCTAGACTTTGCATGTAAATCAGACGCTTTATTGCCATAAAGCACCCGGTGTGAACGCAGCATCAGTGATTCACTGTGATCTTTATGTTCATCTTCAGTTTTTTCTGCCTTTTCTCTTTTTTATCTCTTCATCAGCTTGTGCCATTCTCAAAGTACCAAATGTTCTACTGTTTGGTCATTTTAAACCTTTCAGATTGACTGTCAGAGGATGAGCAACCAGTCTGTAACTGTGGAGGGGGGGGATTCTATTTTCATTTCCATCGGCTGAATAAACACAAATGACCAGGAATTGACCCTTTCTCACATTAGAAGGTGTCAATTCAGAATACTGTGATGAATCTCTGAACAGCAGTCGGAACAAATGACGTTTCTCAATTCACAAGAACGCGAGTTCGGACTTGTGTTCTTGTCAAGTATGTTCTTGAGAAGAACACAGGAATGTGTGGACTCTGGGAGAACGGGAACACGCAGCATAAATCTGGGTCAATTGGAACAGAAGCGTACTGATGACATCACCACACGCTCGGCTTGTCTGGAGCTGCATTTCACTTCCTGTTATTAATAGTCTCTAGATAATAAGTTCGAACTTTTTTCATTTAGTGTGGGAATAATAATGAACACAGTCATATAAACAAATCAAATGAACATTTTGCCAAATAAAACAAAAAAACTTGCCATCAGAGCCAGGTTCTCCTTCTCCTTCACACACGGCCAGAGAGAGAGCTGCTGCAGACGGGCTAACCTCAGCCCTGGCTGCTGCAGACGGGCTAACGTCAGCCCTGGCCGCTGCAGACGGGCTAACCTCAGCCCTGGCCGCTGCAGAGGGGCTAACGTCAGCCCTGGCCGCTGCAGAGGGGCTAACGTCAGCCCTGGCTGCTGCAGACGGGCTAACGTCAGCCCTGGCCGCTGCAGAGGGGCTAACGTCAGCCCTGGCCGCTGCAGAGGGGCTAACGTCAGCCCTGGCCGCTGCAGAGGGGCTAACGTCAGCCCTGGCCGTTGCAGACGGGCTAACGTCAGCCCTGGCCGCTGCAGAGGGGCTAGCGTCAGCCCTGGCCGCTGCAGAGGGGCTAACGTCAGCCCTGGCCGCTGCAGAGGGGCTAACGTCAGCCCTGGCCGCTGCAGAGGGGCTAACGTCAGCCCTGGCCGCTGCAGAGGGGCTAACGTCAGCCCTGGCCGCTGCAGAGGGGCTAACGTCAGCCCTGGCTGCTGCAGACGGGCTAACGTGCTAACGTTAGCCCTGGCCGTTGCAGACGGGCTAACGTCAGCCCTGGCCGCTGCAGAGGGGCTAACGTCAGCCCTGGCTGCTGCAGACGGGCTAACGTGCTAACGTTAGCCCTGGCCGTTGCAGACGGGCTAACGTCAGCCCTGGCCGCTGCAGAGGGGCTAACGTCAGCCCTGGCTGCTGCAGACGGGCTAACGTGCTAACGTTAGCAATGGCCGTTGCAGACGGGCTAACGTCAGCCCTGGCTGCTGCAGACGGGCTAACGTCAGCACTCAGGCTCAGGGCTCTGCTGGTTGCCGTGGTCCCCTCAACATCTGAACTTTTTTTTTGTAATTACACATTAAATCAGTAAATGGGCCATATAGTGAATCTTAATCTTCTCGCCTCAAATGATCTTAAAACGTACTTTTATTGAACAACAGCAACAGAAAAGAGAACATTTAACTTAATACCCTGAGCTCTGTGAGCGCTTCATTGAAAGCTACTGCTGCCGCAGTGCATGCTGGGATACCTGTCTGTCTCAAGAACGGACAAGCCTGCTCTGATGAATGTTGGGTAAAGACGGAGGGGCGAGAACAGCATCCGGCGACTTTGTCCGTTCTGTCTTCTTGTTCTTGTGAATTGGAACAGTATAGGGCTGAGGATGATGAAGTTTCACCAGTGAATGAGAATGCGCAAGTACACATATTGAGAAACGGCTCAAGAAAAGCTGATAAGCAGAGGAAATTTAGACCCCCATGGAGTTCATGAAAGGTGAAGATTAGGGCTGAAACAATAAACCACATTACTTAATTATTTAAATAATAATCAACTAATTTAGTAATCAAGTCCTTTTATTCCACCACTAGGCCAACTAATGTTAGCCTAGTGGTTAGAGCAGTTAGGTTGTGCTCTGTGAAGGCTGCGGCCTGCTGCATTTCTTCTTCCTGCTCGTCTCTAGATTCTGTGCATTCCTCCAAACCCTCGGCCCTGTCGGGAATCTCCCCCTGTCCCGTGTTGCATGACCGTCCTGCTTCAGCATGCCACATATCTGCCTATTCACTGTCATATCACTAATCAACAGCTTCTGCCTCCTTCTCTCCTCTGAGGCTTACAATATCTTATGGAAAAACAAACGTGTGCAGGTAAGAAGTTAGCTGTAGGTGTCTGGGATCCCTCCTCCTTTTCTAACAGCTTCTTTTAAAGACCTCAGGGTGAACTTGGCCTCAGCCATCTTTGTTTGTGCATCTTGTTTCTTCTGCTGAAAGGATAATGAACCTTCTTCCATTTTTAAAGTTTCAAAAACGATGAAAGATCATAGGTACAACTTCTTCATCAAAACCGTTATTTTTTTTATTCGCAGAATATCTAGAGTGATTATAAATAAAAGTCTTAATTTAACTGATGAAAATGAAGCTGAGAAATAAACGTTGGAACTGTTTTCTGCAATGCCAGCATGAACTCAAAAGGAAAATTAGGTTGAGTTGGTTCATATATCATCGGTCATCTGCTAATCAAATTTTTTCGGTCATAGCATCTTGATTCATATGTCGCAGCTAATATACGCAACGGTTGAAATAAAAAATCATAATAATTTCCTTTCCCATTGAGTTGCGTCCCAGTGTTCACGGGGATGGACGTCTGTGTCTTCAGCAGGCGTAGAGCTAACAGAACTGGCAGCGTTGCGAGGCAAGGGCTCAAACATGTACGGCTGGAAGCCTTCTACACTAAACCAAGCTTCTGCCGCCCTGGCGTCCTCTTCCACAACATCTACGTCCCCGCTTTCCTCCTCTAAATAAAAAATGTATGACGGAGGAGACTCATCCACGACCTCCGACACTAAACTCTCCTCCTCTTGCATGTTTCCTCTGTCCATAGTGTTCCTTGACAGTGTCGTTTCTAAGTCACCAATTTAGTGCTACTTGGTCTCAATGGAATTTCCCATTGGGAACCTACTAGCACTAAGCTGCTAACTGGTTAGCAAGATGCTTCTGACAAACCGGCCACAATCAAACTTACTTCCGCCACAACAATCCCGCCCCCTTGATAAACAACCAATCACATTCATTCACTTAATTCACTCGTTTAAAGTTGGAATCAAAATCCAGTGGGTTGTTTTTAATTTTCTTTTTTGGAATGACTGTGACCTTGATCACTGAAAATCTCCACCAACATAAGGAGCTCTTTTAATCCCAGCCTGTTTTTATAGATTTTGATGCAGTTTTATCTGGATTCCACTTTCGCTGCTAACTAGTTTGTTTTTTAAGCTGCCTCGTTCAAAGACCAGGTCTTAGGTTGGAAGCTCAGCCATGTTTTGCCCACGTGTGTTTATGTCGGTTGTTGGAGAATTGATATATTTGCTGCAGCCATGCCTGGAGATGTTTCACTGATTTCCACTCATTGTGTTCAGCTAAAGATGCGTGCTGGAGGGATGAGCGAGTCGTCCAAATGGAAGAAGCAGAAACGTTCGCCTCGGCCGCCTCGCCACCTGCTCCAGAGTCCCTCAGACCCAGGAAACCCCAGCAGCCTCAGCAACAACCTCTCAGGTGAATAACATTAGTCATCACAGCGCACGTGCCTCCTGTGATTAGGTAAAAAATCGGAACGCTTTGTGTTTCAATAAGATTTCTATGCTAGCAGCGTAGCAGGCTGTTTCATGGTGTTTTAAACAACACGCTGCCTAAATCAGGATGAAGTTCTGTTTCAGGTGCATTCAGGCTTCTGTTTGGAAAGAAAACAGAAAAAAAAAACTTCCAGGGTCAAAGTTCATGCCTTTCCTGCTGTAACCATAGACATAATATAAGAGTAGACCCTGCATCGATCGCTTTCACCCATGAGCCCAGACGTGGTTTGGTGGCGCCATCTTGGGGCGGTTGACGGCTCCACTCAGTGTAATGTGTTGAGCAGCACAGAATCAATTTTAATCAACTTTAACTTTCTGAATATTGAACTAATGTTCAGGCTTTTTAAATTTTTTTTGCTGAAAACAAAGAAATAGTTCAGTGCATTTAAATATTCTTAGTGGGGTTAAGGGTAATAGAATATTCAGATGTTTGTTGAAAAGCACAGCCACTCATACATTTTTATATTGTTTATATATATATTTAATATACACAAACACATTTATACACAAATATATATAAATAGATCTCTCACTCTGTGTTTGTCATGAAGTTAGAGGAACAGAGAATAAAAAAGGCTAAAATGAGGGCTAGAAGCATCAAGGGTCAGCTAACACCCAGAAAGCACGTAGGATTATGGATCCGGGTTGTTTCTGTGGTTTCCTGTCTGACTCTACCTGGTTTCTCTAGGCGGCGTCCCGTTTATGGAGCAGGGCTCCTCTACCTCCAGCCTCGCCATTTTGGACAGCGCCGGCTCCTCCACATGCAGCCCCACAGCCACAGACAGTGGTCTGGATCCGGGCTCTAAAGCCACCTCCAGGGAAGATCTCTCTGACCTGGAGCAGCCGCCTGTAAACCCCCCCTGCTCTGCTACCTCGCTGCCCTCTACCGAATCCGGCTCTTCTCACGTACAGGTGGAGTGTTTACCGTTAAACGTGATCCGTTCTGGCAGGGGGCGGGGTTCTAATCCGTGTTCCCGTCATGTGCAGTCTGAGGGGGCGCAGGCTGACGCGACGCAGGCCGTTTCTGTAGAGTCCATCCCTGAAGTTCTGGACGACAAAGACTCCTCGGATACCACGTCTGTCCACGACATGGAGTATGTGAACCCTCGTGGAGTCCGGTTCACTCAGTCCACCCAGAAAGACGGTGAGGCCGGCAGGAGCTTTATTTTCATCCCCTCTTCTTCTTTTAGGTTTTTATTTTGACGTTTGCTCTGTCCTGCAGGAGTTGCCCTCATTCCGTACGGCCTGCCATGTTTACGGGAACTTTTCCGCTTTTTGATCTCCCTCACCAACCCTCAGGACCGCCATAACACCGACGCTATGATCCACATGGGCCTGCAGCTTCTGACGGTGGCGCTGGAGTCTTCACACATCGTGAATTACCAGTCGTTACTAGTCCTAGTGAAAGATGAGCTCTGCAGGCATCTCTTTCAGGTAAAACCATCTTTCTCCGTTCTTGAAATGAAATATATCTTCAGCCAGTCTGAATGTTCTGTCGATGTTGCACCTTTGATTCAGTTAAAGCGTAGATCTGTGAGACTTTCTGCTTATGTTGAGTCATTAGAAGGAGGAAGGCTGAACATCCTTGGTCATCATCTGATCTGTGTTGCAGCTGCTGAGTGTGGAGCGGATGAACCTCTATGCTTCTTCCATGCGAGTTTGCTTCCTGCTTTTTGAAAGCATGAGGGAACATTTGAAGTTCCAGCTGGAGGTAAAGATCTTCAATATTCTCTGCAAAATCTGCTATCCAACCAGTGCCTTATTAAAGGAAAAGTCCGGTCAACAAGGAATAATCAATGGATCATTATTTATACCTAAAACTAATACATTCGCAGTGATTTAACGAATTTAGCCTTAAATGGTGAAAAATTAAAACAATAAGCCTAGCGCCATTCTCCCCCCTTTACAAGCAAAATCAATGGAAACTAGGCAAGGCAAATGTATTTGTATAGCACAATTCAAAGAAAAAGACAATGCAAAGTGCTTTACATGATTAAAATACAGGAAGATAAAACAGAATCAAAGCAAGTAGGAAAAAAAATAAATAAATACAATAAAATAAAATAAAAATGCAGAAACAAAAGAGAATATTAAAAACTGTTGGAACTACTAGACACATCTGCAATCAACATTACATTCAGACCGCAAGCAACGGGAGCAGCAAAGACGTGCCTGCTGCTTCATTTTTGATGCTTGTACAAGTTTAGTTCTGACGCGTGGCTGAAGTTTAGTTCTGCTGCTCCAGCTACGAGGTCAAAAAGTAGGTCTGATGCGTGTTGGGCGGAGCTACGCTATCGTTTCTATGCATGTAACAATGGCAGCTGTGATCAGCGGGTAGAAAGTAGTTTGAACCTATTTTAAAGTAAGAAAGTCCTGAAAACATGGTCAGTGCAGTCAGTTCATCCAGATTACCATCCTGCCTTCAATATTATTTCTGTCGGAGCGGCTCAGACCGCAACATCCCGGCGGTGGCTGTCCCTGGGAATCTCTTTCAACAGCAGCCTCTGGCCCGGTCGCCTCTTTGGGGTTTTCCCCTAATGTTTACAGTGGCTTGAAGGCCTTTTTCACTTCGATAATTCAAACTGAGAGGCACCAGGATAATAAAATTTAACATGTTTTGTCAGCAGCTTTCAACATTTTAATTTAATTTAGGCATTAATAAACAGTTTCAGAGGAGTGATCATAGTTTTCTGCATCAGCAGTGCTGTGTCTGTCTCCCTGCCAGCTCCCAGATCAGCTTCTCTGATTGGTTGATGTGCCGCATTCAGCAGTTCAATTTTTCCAACTCCAGCAGCTGCTGCTTTTGACGTCAGATGCTCAGAAGCTCATGAGTCGTTGCTTCAGCTACTCAGACGCGCTGCTCCTGATGCGCAAAATGCGCTGCGGGACCTTCTGCTGCACCAAGATGCGCATCAACCATTGACTTTGCAGGTAAACTAGCTGCTTCTGCTGCCTCTGGTACATGCAATGTAGCATTATTGAAGATTTCCAGAGGACTTCACCATTGAAATTCACCAGAGCTATAGTGAAACTGACAATGCCCACGTGCATGGCAGCTGGATGTTGGAATACATCGGGTAAAAGTGATAAAAATTTGTTATTTCACCTTTCCGATTCATGATCGTCGATGGGTGGGTTTGTCGTTGGATTGCTAACTTGAAGAGGGAGGATTTGCCATCGAATTTCTGGCCAGAGAAAAAACAGGTAATATGTAGCCAACATTTGCAGCCGATATCTTATGACAAACATGTCTCCAGTAAAGCACATTCAAATGAAAATTACTTTTAATGAAAAAAACTTGAACAGTATGTAATAATTTTATATTTAAAGTACTTTCAGAAGTTTGAATTCTGAATATGAGCGGACTTTTCCTTTAAAATGAGTGTTTGCTGATGAATAAAATGATCTGCCAAAGGTTGGAAGCTAACAGCCAAAAATGTATATCACCTTATTCCTTTGGCAAACAGTTTTACTTCCCTGCTCTAATCAGGGAAAATATATGTTCAGCAATCTAACGAACTGTGCGCTGACCTGGCAGATGTATCTGAAGAAACTGATGGACATCATCACATCAGAGAACGCCAAGATGCCCTATGAGATGAAGGAGATGGGTCTGGAGGCTCTGGTCCAGCTCTGGAGGATCCCCAGCTTCGTCACTGAGCTCTACATCAACTATGACTGTGACTTCTACTGCTCCAATCTGTTCGAAGACCTCACCAAGATGCTGTCCAAGGTAACACATAACATAGTTCATCCAACGATGCTCCTGAAGCTGCATCCATCAAGCCAAAAGCTTTTTGGTGCAAAGAGGTGGATTTCCTTCTTATTGAAATGAGGGAGAAACGCTAGATGCTCTCCAGCACTAACCGTCCATGTTTACTTCTGTAAACACAGAGCACGTATGTTTGTGATGTCATTGCGTCCTCTACTGAACATGCGGGACACCTAAGCTGTGTGAATGCAGTTCACACAGGAAATCCCATACAAGTCGCATATATTTGGAAATGTGAACTGCAACGCAACAAAAAAGGGATTTCACAAAAAAATTGGAATTAAGCCTTAAGGCCTGCAGTGTGAACGTAGCCAATTTATACTCAGAAACCAGGTCGTCTGCGTGAGTGTCGCAGTTAACGCATATATGCTCCCTCCTGCGCAGACACTCTGCTGCAGCTCCCCAAAACTGTAGGTGAGTGCAAACAGGAGGCCTCTGATTGGTCAAATCTACATCCGCTCTACACTATGCGTATTTCCTGTTTGGTACCTTACCGGCTTGTTTTTTTTGTGTGACCGCCATTGTGGAAAACGACTCGTGAAAATGGACCAGCTAGAAGAGCGAGGTGCTGGGACCCTTTTTCCACCTGGTTCCCAGCTCTTTTTCACCCTCATGTCCCTCCGTTGTCGCACAAACTTTCCCCCACTTCCTCACCACCTCGGCCGTATCTAGACCCACAGCTAGTTCCTGATTGGCCCTCTTGCGTTGTGGTGTGGAGTAACACAGTGCAGACCACGCTTCATTATTGGGCATGAATCAAAAATATCTGCGATAAGCTTACTGCGACACACTGCTGCAGGAGCATAACCAGCCCTTTACTCATTCTGTCAATCTGCTTGAAAAGAACAAGTCATGAAACTTTGGATGTTTTTATATCTGAACGTTTTTTCCCACTCCTGCTGTTCTTCGATATATTTGTCCGTTCCTATTCTGCACCATAGAACAGGATCTAAAAAGAAGTCAGACTTTCCGTACGTCCTTCCTTTGAGCCAGTCAGTAAAGTTCTGGTCCATGAAATCGGATAGTTTTATATTCTGCCGCTAGAATAAGATGTCTTTCATCTTATTTCAGGTAAAACAATCTTATTTGATTAGCAGATCTTTTCACTCACCAACTCAAATATTTCAGGCTTTTTAGTTCGGTGTTGCCTTTCGTATCTCTGCGTCTTTTTGTATCTCTGCTTCTGTCTCCTTGAACCCCAGTCGGCCTCAGCAGATGGTCGCTCACACTGAGTCTGGTTCTGCTGGAGGTTTCTTCCTATTAAAAGGGAAATTTCCTCTCCACTGTCGCTACAAGCATGCTTAGTGTGAGGGATTGCTGAAGAGTCAATGAGTCGATGCAATCACCTGGCTTTCCTTAGATAGACAACTTTGAATCAATTTGACTGGATCATCTGGTTGAACTTTTACCGTAAGTTCCTTTAGATGACGTGTTGTGAATTGGCGCTATAGAAAGAAACTGAATTGAATCGTCATGCAGGCTTGTTCTGTTTGTCTCCCGATCAGAACGCGTTCCCTGTGTCGGGACAGCTCTACACCACCCACCTGCTGTCTCTGGAGGCCCTCCTCACGGTCATTGACAGCATTGAAGCCCACTGCCAGTCCAAGGTGGTTAGCATGGCCCAGCAGGATCAGTCAGACACGCTGCTAGAGGAAGGATCGTCGTCTAATGGAACAGACCTGATCACAGGTAGTTCGCTCTTTGTTCTTATGAACAATCCAAAGCTAATACCATTAAAATGAACATTATGACATTGTTTTCCTCCAGATCCCGGTGTTCCCAACAGCTGTCCGCACACCCTGCAGGCGTCGGGGTATCCTCCTACCAGTGGATACCTCATGGCGGGGAAGATGAATCTGGGCAGGGACGACCACGGAGACGCTGAAACTGGTGAGGCTTCCTAAAAGCTGAACAAAAAACAAAAGCATTTTTGGAAATGTTAACCCTTGGTGACCTGGATTTGTTTCTGTAGCAGAGAAGAAGGCAACTAAAAAGCCCCCCCGTTTCTCTTCCTGTCTGCCGGATCCGCAGCAGCTGATGGAGATCAGGACCAAGAAGAAAGTAAAGGATTGGGATTAGTTTGGCTCTTCTTTCTCATTTAACCCAGAGCTACATTTGTTCTACCTTTTGTTCAGCTTCTCATCACAGGGACCGAGCAGTTTAACCAGAAGCCGAAGAAGGGGATCCAGTTCCTCCAGGAGAAAGGCCTGCTGAGCGACCCGTTGGACACCAAGCAGGTGGCGCAGTGGCTGCGGGAAAACCCGCGTCTGGACAAAAAGATGATTGGGGAGTACATCAGCGACCGAAAGAACATGGAGCTCCTGGACAGCTTTGTGAAGTAAGATAAAAAGTCTGTCTGCCGTCCGAACGCTCGTTCAATGCTCCACCTAACAGGGGCCCGTTTGCTTTCAGTACGTTTACCTTCCAGGGGCTCCGCATTGATGAGGCCCTGCGGCTCTACCTGGAGGCCTTCAGGCTCCCTGGAGAGGCTCCCGTCATTCAGAGGCTCCTGGAGACGTTTACAGACAACTGGCACGTGAGTCTGGCTGGTTTTCTTTCAACTCTTAGCTGAGTAAACGTATGAAGAAGGAATCTTCTCTTAATTGAGTAAAAGTTCGTGCTCCTCTGTCCATAATTTCACTTAGAAAAGATGCTTGTTTTAAAGGAGAAGTCCGGTCAGCAAGGAATAATCAATGGATCATTATTTGTAACTATAACGAATAAGTTTGCAGTGTTTCAAAGAATTTAGCGTTAAACAGTAAAATAATAATTATCGTCGTTGCTACTGAGTCTGGGAGCGGCCTCCTGTCTGCGGTCACCTACAATTTGGGAGAGGTGCAGCAGAGTGTCTGCAGAGGGGGCTGGGGCGTTTTTGTGTTCACCTAAGCAGGCGACCTAGTTTCGAAGTATAAATCAGCTTTGAGTCTGGGAGCGGCCATTTTTGCCCAAATATAGTAACCCCTCCCTCCTGCCATCTTCCAGCAGTGACGTCACGGTGCGGTAAGCCTAGCGTCATTCTCCCCGCTTTACAAGCAGAATCAATGGGAACTACTAGACACATCTGCAATCAACAACAATTATTGAAGATTTCCAGAGGACTTCACCATTGAAATTCACCAGAGCTATAGTGAAACTGACAACGCCCACGTGCATGGCAGCTGGATGTTGGAATACATCGAGTAAAAATGAAAAAAAAAAAAAGTTATTTCACCTTTCTGATTCCTGATCCTCCACGGACGGGTTGGTCGTTGGATCGCCAACTTGAAGAGGGAGGATTTGCCATCGAACTTCTGGCCAGAGAAAAAACACGTAATGTGTAGCCAACATTTGGAAGAAGAATGTTTTCAAGATGACTTGGATAATAGCGCGTTGTGACAAACACCAGATACAGCACTGGGACTTGATCAACAGCCGATACCGCACCGTGACGTCACAAACCAGTAGGTGGCAGTAGTGTTCTTTGACAAACATGGATGCCTCCAGTAAAGAACATTCAAATGAAAATTAAAAGCACTTATTTATTGAACAGTATGCAATAATTTCACATTTAAAGTACTTTCAGAAATTTGAATTCTGAATATGACCGGACTTTTACTCTAAGCAACTTTTACCTCTTTGCAGAAAGTCAATGGATCTCCATTTATGACCAATGATGCAGGCTTCGCTCTGGCCTATGCTGTGATCATGCTGAACACTGATCAGCACAACCACAATGTCCGCAAGCAGAACATCCCCATGACTGTGGAGGTAAGGAAGCCTGTAGGGACATCAGTGGTGGAGCTAGAAATTTTAAAACAGGGGTGGCGAGGTATTAGTTGGGGGGGTCAGTATATAAAGGGCTCAATTAGGCCAGTACACGTGTTAAGTTGTAAGTAGCATACTGTGCATGTATGAGATGTAAGGAATGGGAGGCGGGGCTAGATCTGGGTTTCCTTCTTCATTGAGTGGAGTGATGAGCGCGGGAGCGCATGTTGTTAACTGTTAATGGCGACCATTAAAGTGTGGATATTAATGTCAGCAGTGTGATTATTGAGCCATCAACACGTACCCCTAGTGGGAGCAGAACGTTAGAGATTGAACTAACAGATGCTGTAGAGTGGGAGAATAGAGATAGAATGAAGCAGAATAATGAAAAAGGGGTCCTATTTGGAGGTGAGGTTTATGATGCATTCAAAGTGTGTGGGAAAAATAAAACTCAGTGAAATAGATGAAGACAGCTTAATGTAGTCATGCATGCTGCGATAGTCATTTTAACTATGGTGCGTTGGGAAAATCGAGATACATTGAGTATATTCTATATATCTTGAACTCCTATGGTGTTTCTGATGGAATTTCTAGGAAAAACAGCCGCTGTCTGGTCTGACAGACAGTAAGTGGAGGAAGTGAAATAAAAAAAGGAAAAATGCCTTTTGAACTTTAACCTTTATTTTAGCTGTACTATCCGTGGCTCTGAGTAGTAATGTTGGTGCGCGGCCATCACACTTGACCCATTTTAGAATCAGAAGATCTAGAGTCTCTAGTGTAAGATCTGGCTGGCTAAATAAAGGTTAGAATAACCCATCCAGGTATTGTCTTTCGCTGCTAGGAGAGACATCGACCCTAAAAGGCAGAACGATTAATAAAGTAGTTAAAAAATGAGAATAGAGTAATGTGCGTGGCTTCCACCTGCAAAGCCATGACTGTGCTGGTTGGACAGAACAGTGACCATTAGTGGCTAGCTCTGCAGCTGCCGAGGGGGAGTAACTTAGTGAAACCGTTACTGTGAAAACTAACCGGCGCTGTCCAGTACTACCATCCATTTTTACTTCCGTCAACACAGAGCAATTTGGCTTGTGATGTCATTGTGTCCTCTGCTGCGCATGCAGGACACTTACGTTGTATGAATTCAGATCACATAGAAGTTGCATATATTTGGAAATATGAACAGCAATCCAAAAACAATGGAATTTCACAAAAAAATCGCAATTGCGCATTAAGGCCTGTAGTGTGAACATAGCCTTAGAGGTCTGCAGTGTTTGGGGCTTGTATCATTGGTATGAAGAAGCAGTGAACTTCTAAACAGTTTGACCCTCTCTGCCTGGTATTTATTTTTCTGTAACTCTGCAGAGTAGCTTCCATTTTCCCCAGGTACCAACCGGGGCATAAGGCTAATGCCGGAGGCTATCGGATACCACCAGGTAGTCATGTTTATTCAGGGGAACCTCCTGGTTATCAGCCTGCTTTGCTAAGCAGATGGATTCCGTCATTGTCTCTTTGAGGCTCATCCATAAAAAGCTTTGTTGTCTGAACTGCCCTCATCTGTAGATGAACATTCGCTGACTGACCACTTTTGTTTGAACTTTCCTCCCAAACAGCAATTCAAGAAAAATCTAAAGGGAGTCAATGGAAACCAGGACTTTGACCAGGACATGTTGGAGGACATCTACAACGCCATCAAGTAAGGACGGTTTAATGAGGCTTTAGAGACACTTTGTCCTCCATCTATTGATGCACTAAGTGATTTAACAGAGGAGCTTGTCCAGGGTAGGCTAACTTGCTAACGAAAAAACTAGATGCTACTTGTTCTTGTTTCTAAGAAAACGTCAACATAAACCTCTCTGTTCTATCCCAGCAGAAAGCCTGGTGTTTCTTTTGAAGCCCCACCCCCTTTAAATTGTCACCATCTGGTAACAGGTGTACTGAGGTGGACTCTTTTAGTTTGTTTGTTTAGCCTCTGATTAGAAGCGGTGACCCAACATGGCTCCTCTCACTGTGTGCGCCAGCGTCCATGTATTTAGAAATTGGTTTTACTGGAACGTTTTCATGGCTGATGGGATTTTTATTGGGATTTCCTAGAAATGGAATTATTACATCATCCTATAAAGCCTACTTTTTTCACACTGTTTCTGTTTCTGTCTTTTCCCCGGTTTGCTTCTGTTGTCATCTCTCTGACATCATCGTTTCTCTGACCTTGTAGTGTCCTTGTCTCTCTGACCTCGTGGTCTCTCTGACCTCGTGGTCTCTGACCTCGTGGTCTTTCTGACTTCGTGGTCTCTCTGACTTCATCGTCTTTCTGACCTCTTGGTCTCTCTGACTTCGTGGTCTCTCTGACCTAGTGGTCTCTGTGACTTCTTGGTCTCTCTGACCTCATGGTCTCTCTGACCTAGTGGTCTCTCTGACTTCGTGGTCTCTCTGACCTAGTGGTCTCTCTGACCTAGTGGTCTCTCTGACCTCTTGGTCTCTATGACCTAGTGGTCTCTCTGACCTAGTGGTCTCTCTGACCTAGTGGTCTCTCTGACCTAGTGGTCTCTCTGACCTCTTGGTCTCTCTGACCTCTTGGTCTCTCTGACCTCGTGGTCTCTCTAACCTCTTGGTCTCTCTGACCTCTTGGTCTCTCTGACCTCTTGGTCTCTCTGACCTCGTGGTCTCTCTAACCTCTTGGTCTCTCTGACCTCTTGGTCTCTCTGACCTCATAGTCTCTCTGACCTCTTGGTCTCTCTGACCTCGTGGTCTCTCTGACCTCGTGGTCTCTCTGACCTCATCATGTTGTATCGTCGAAATGAAATTAGTTTATTATCATTTGAATGTAGAGCACTGGTTTCCAGACTCAGTCCACTGGACCCACACTCCTGCATGTCCTCCATGTCCTTCTTGTCCTGCATGTCTCTCTGCTGTAGCCCCCCTGCATTACCCCAATGTACCCTCTCCTCAGTGGCCAACAGGGGCTGCAGGGTCTATGAAAATGGGGAAATAGCTAAAACATGGAGGACGGCGGGTCCTGAGGAGCGAGTTGAAACCACTGATGTAGACAATTCATTCAGTCCACTTTCTATCATCGGTTGTGGTCCTGCAGCTTCTAGGCCGTCGTTATTTATGGAGTTGGCCTGTTATCGTTCTGCTTTGTGTCTGATGACTTGCTGTCATCAGCGCCAGCAGCAGGTTCAGTCTGACAGCCCTGAAATTTGAGGAACTTGGCTCTGAAAATCCTGGAAAGCTCCTTAAATCTGATCCTAACCCAGGAGGGGGAACCCAAATGAAAACATTTGGTGGCGTTAGCTGAAAGGTTTTGTACGAGCCCCCAATTCTCTCTGTTCAGGTTATATTTTCTGGTCTTGATATCTGAAAGTCTGACTGATGCCGAAATCCTCAGGAGCGAGGAGATCGTGATGCCGGACGAGCAGACGGGTTTAGTGAAGGAGAACTACGTCTGGAGTGTGCTGCTGCACCGCGGGGCCACGTCTGAGGGGATCTTCCTCCACCTGCCCCCCGACAGCTACGACCTCGACCTGTTCACCATGACCTGGGGTCCCACCATCGCTGCTCTATCTTATGTCTTTGACAAAAGTCTGGATGAAAGCATCATCCAGAAGGCCATCACTGGCTTCAGGTACGTGAGCTTAGAGCTGTCAACGTTTAGGTAATTCAACAGGGACAACCGCTAGTGTCTTTATCTTCTCTACTGTTTCATAGATGTTTGTTGAAAGTAAAAATTGTCTGGATCTCATTTAAAATAATCTAACTGGGAATCAAAATGCAGTGATGGTGTGAAAAAAACTTTTGGCTCTGGATCTGGTTAGATTAATGTGGTGACTGTCTTTGCAGAAAATGTGCAATGATTGCTGCTCACTACGGCTGCAGCGACGTGTTCGACAACTTGATCATCTCCCTCTGCAAGTTCACCACTCTGGCCAGTGAGGTGAGGAAGCAGCAGCATCCTGCTGGGGGTTAAATGTCCAAATCTTCTACCTGTTGACCTGGATGCTAGCGTGACCTTTTTATTTCTACTTTGAATGACCTTGTTTTTTTTAGAAATGTACAGAGAGGAAAGTTTAAGACTGAAGTTGAATTTAAAGTAGATGACGTGTATTATTTAGTTTAAAGGTATAGAGCAGAAGCTTTTATTTCTCTCTGTTTATCTCAGAATTCTATCTGAACTCAGTTTCGCTGTGGAAATGTCCCCCCCCCCCCCCCAGGCTGTAGAAAACCTACCTACCGTGTTCGGCAGCAACAGCAAAGCTCAGACGGCTGCCAAGACCGTCTTTGATTTGGCTCATCGGCACGGAAACATCCTGAGGGAAGGCTGGAAGAACATCATGGAGTCCATGCTGCAGCTCTTCAGAGCCCAGCTGCTTCCCAAGGCCATGGTGGAGGTCAGGACCGTATAATAGGCACACTGCTGCCCCCTTCTGCTCACTGTTAATACAGGGTTTCCACGAGTCTTTAAATTTTTTTAAAGTCATTAACTTATTATTTTTAAAATTAAGGCCTTAATTGGCATTAAAACGAAAGTTACGTATGTAACTACGGTTCTATGAATCCCGGATGACCGCCAGAGGGCGGTGCTGAAAGCACTGAATGTTCCCTTCGGGCATGCGCAGTTCGAGTAATTATACCAACAGAGTCACACCTGTGACACCGGATGACCACTCAGAAGCTATATAGCCTGGTGTCATCCTTTGCTCTGCTCCTACAGAATCTTCTCGCAAAAGCAAGGATTCTGAGTGACAGAGAAGCTCTGGCGGTCATCCGGGATTCATAGAACCGTAGTTACATACGTAACTTTCGTTCTATTTCATCCCTACTGACCGCCAGAGGGCGGTGCTGAAAGCACTGAATGACTAATGCCAACGATGTCACAAGGAATCCTGAGCACATACCTCACAGAGGAGGGCCAACAGAACCTTGTAAAAGGACCTGACCCAGGGGATGAGGGGCAGCCACATTGACACTGTAGAACCTGGTGAAGGTGGTTGGGGAAGCCCATGAAGCAGCAGCACATATAGCTTCCAGCGGAACCCCTCTCAAAGCAGCCCAGGAAGCGGTGACGCTCCTGGTGGAATGTGCTCTCACACCGACTGGCAGGGAGCAGTGACCTGCAGCGTAGGCGTGGCAGATGACACTCACAATCCAATGGGACAGACGCTATTTAGAAAGAGGACAGCCTAACCTTGGACCCCCATAGCATAGGAAAAGCTGGTCCGAGCGTCTCAGATTGGCGGTGGCTGCAATGTATGCCTCCAACGCTCTTACTGGGCACAACTCAGACTCATTCTCAGTTGTACCAGATTGAGGCTGAAACCGAGCCAGCCCCAATGGCTGGTTACGGTGAAAAGGAGACAACACCTTAGGCACAAACGCAGTATTAGGCCACAGGGTAACACCAGAGCCATCTGGATTCCACCTGATACACCTAGGGCTGACAGAAAGAGCATGCAGCTCGCTGACCCTCTTAGCTGAGACGATAGCCATCAGGAAAGCAGTCTTGCAGGAAAGCCACTTGAGTTCTGCTTGTGCCAAAGGCTCGAATGGAGGGTGGCACAGAGCTGTGAGAACCAACGGCAGATCCCAATCTGGGGCTCGTGGGGCTGGCTGCTGGCACAACCTACGAGCACCACGCAGAAAAAGTGAAACCAGTTCATGGCGCCCCACTATACGGTTGTCAACAGTTCGGTGAAGACATGAAATTGCTGCAACATACACTTTAAGGGTCGAAGGAGAGCGGCCCTTATCAAGGAGAGACTGGAGGAACTCCAAAATAGTGGACACCGAGCAGGAAACTGGGTTCTCATTGTGGGCAGAGCACCACTGAGAAAAGAGGCGCCATCTGTTAGCATACTGCAGCCGAGTGGAGGAAGCCCTAGCACTCAATACGGTGTGTCTCACGGTGTCTGAACACCCAGTCAGCCTCCCAGGGGCCATGCCCACAGCTGGAGACGTTGAGGGTTGGGGTGCCATATCTGTCCCCCCAACTGAGACAGCAGATCCCTCCTTGCTGGAAGACGCCATGGAGTACCGTGACACAGACTCCAAAGCAGCGGGAACCACGGCCGCGCTGGCCAGAACGGAGCTACCAGCAACACTCTGTGGCCCTGCTCGAGAACCCTCCGTAGAGTCGGCCAAATCAGTGAGAGGGGTGGAAAGGCATACAGGAAAACCTGCGGCCATGGATGAGCCAGTGCATCCTGGCCCAGTGCGCCCGCCATCCCGGTTAGGGAATACCATAGGGGGCAATGGGTCGACTCCTCTGTGGCGAACAGATCTACCTCTGCCTGCCCAAAGAGGTTCCAGATTATGCGCACTACGTCGCGGTGAAGAGACCACTCTCCCGGAGCAGGTGCCTGGCGGGATAGAGAGTCCGCAACCTGGTTCTGCCGTCCTGGCAGATACGCTGCGCGCAGGGTACACAGACGGGGAAACGCCCATTCCAGGAGATCCCTCGACACCTTCAAGAGACGTGCTGACCTGGTGCCACCTTGGTTGTTTATATGATAAACAACAGAGGTGTTGTCTGTCCGAATCAGCACGTGCCTTCCCTCTAGGTGGGGCAGAAGGCACCTGAGGGCCATGTCCACAGCCCGTAGCTCCAGCACATTTATGTGTTCGGTGCGCTCCCTTGGGTCCCAGAGACCCCGAACAGCTCTGTGTTGCCACGCGGCACCCCAGCCCATGAGGCTGGCATCCGTGGTGACCACCTCCCTTCGACACACTACTAGCCCCATTGGAACACCACTGGACAAAAGGGTCCCGTCTCGCCAAGGAGCTAGGGCATGGAGGCAGCTCCTGGTCACCATTAGCCTGCGATGCCTGTGCAGCCTGGCGTCTAGGCGAAAGCTGTTGAGCCATCGCTGCAAAGGACGCAGAAGGAGCAGCCCTAAGGGCACGACACGAGTGACTGATGTCAGTTTGCCCAGCATTCGCAGGATGATGATGTAGGGAAACTCCCTGCCCAGTCTGAATCGACGGACAAGCTGGAGTATGTCGTCCACCCTGTGAACAGATGGACGGGCCATCATGGTAGCAGAGTCCAGATGCATCCCAAGAAAGGTGGTTGTCTGAGATGGAACAAGACAAGTCTTTGCCAAGTTGACTTTGAGGCCTAACAGTGACACATGAAGTAGAAGCTGGGACGTATCCCGAGAGGCAGCTACCTGAGAGGGAGCACAAAGAAGCCAATCGTCCAGGTATGGCAGAATCCTGACTCCGGAGGCCTGTAGAGGAGAGAGGGCTGCTTTCACGCATCGAGTAAACACCCTCGGGGAAAGGGAGAGCCCGAATGGGAGCACCCGGAATTGCCAATGGCGCCCCCGATAGGCAAACCTGAGAAAACGGCGATGTTCTGCCGCAATAGGCACGTGAAAGTAGGCGTCTGTCAGATCTACTGATGTAAACCAATCTCCCGCCACAATGGTCTGAAGGACCTCTGTTATGGTGAGCATGTGGAAGGGAAGGACCTTCAGGTACCGATTCAGTCCCCTTAGATCTAAAATGGGGCGAAAACCGCCGGTCTTCTTGGCCACAAGGAAGTATGTGGAGTAGTAGCCTCTGGGTTGCCGCAGAGGATCTACAGACTCGATTGCCCCCTTGCCCAGGAGGGCGGAAAGCTTCTGGTCTAGTGCCTGAGATTTCACCGGGTCTGTGATGACAGTCATCTTGACCCGGTGTGAGAGGGGGGGCCGCCTTCGGAACTGGAGCCTGTAGCCATTGGTTAAGGTGGCAACCACCCATGGATCTACGGCATGAGCAGCCCAGAAATTCAGCTGCTGATGGGAAAAATGTCAGACGGCTGGCCCGGTGGCATCATCTTCTATCCCCACGGCCCCTGGGGGCTCTGGGGGGAGGGCGTCCAGGATTTGAGGCCCGGGTCTGTCTAACAGGGCGGCAGACTGGCTCACGAAAGTCCCTCCTCGGTCTCTGCCGCACATCATGGGGATAGGAACCAATAGGTCTGCCACCAGTCTGAGGTCGTGGCTGAACGCTGGGGGTAGTGTCAGGGCGGCCCGAACGCTGGGTAAAGGCAGGTATGCTCCTGCGAAGGCCGGAAAGCTGCTGGCTAGTCTGACGTGCCTGAGCAGTCCGTTCCAGCGCCTCCAAGGCAGCTGATCCAAACAGCTCCCCTGGTACAACCGGGACACCCCTGAGGGTCCTACGGCATGCTTCAGTCAGAGGAGATTGTGCCAACCAGACCTGTCTATGAGCTTGGACAAGGAAAGACATGACCCGTCCAAGCTCTCTGGTCATCAGCGCGAAGGCCTGCAGCGCTGCGTCACTATAACCAACCGCCGCACTTGCACCACCAGTGTCCTGAACAGATGCAGACAGGGCAAACATGAGGTGCGCCAGAGAATTGCCAAGGCGGCCAGCACGCGCTCCTGCATTGTACGCCTTACAGAGGAGGTCATCTGTAACCCGACATTGAGTCCGCGGGCACCGGACATCAGGACGCAGGGCTTCATCTGGTGACACAATCAGTGAAGCAACAGCTGGTTCAATTGCTGGCATACGGTCCAGGCCGGCCTTCACCGACTCATGCATGGCAGCTAATACACGACCATCCGATGAGAGACGCGACAGCGCTCTCGGTTCCCGCCAACAGGCGTGTAACTCCTTCAAGTACTCCTCTGATGGAGGTACAGAAAAAGGAGTAGGAGCCCTTCCACGTCTGAAAAAGGCACTGCCGGAGCTGGATGCCTCTCCTTGTGGGAGTTCCAGCTGCAGCTGCTTCAGGGCCATAGACATGACCTCCCGCATGGAACCGTCACCGGCCTCTCCAACCGCACTCTGAGATGAAAATGAACCAGCCTCAGAGGCTTGAGAGGACCCTGCCTCCTCCTCATCTCTAAAATGAGAAGCGGAAGCAGCCAGAGAGATAACGTCATCCTCTACAACCAGCTCGGGCATTGGTGGGGAAGAGAGCCCAACCACTGGGAGCGAGGGATCAGATTGCCGTGTCTGCAACAAGGACTTCATCTCTGCCAGCTCTGCTGACAACTGCTCCACCCTTGTGGACAGGCCCTGGTCAGGTTTGGCCCGCTTCCTCCGGGGGAGGGGCACAGATGCTGTGGTCCCACCACGGCGCTTAGAACGCTTGGGGGGAACCACCTGCCCAGAGGGCGGAAGGTCGGAGCCCTCCTGGGGGCACAACTGGGCCAACCGGGCCACCCTCACTGCATGGGGCATAAAGCTGCAGTTCATACAGGGGTTCTCAGACAGCGCCTCCAAAAGGTGCTCATGTCCAAGGCAGGTAGGGCACAGGTCGTGGCCATCCTCTGCCTGCAGGGCAGCCCCACAATCCATGCAGCTGTGAGAGCCATCCATGTCGAAGGCCGACAAGGCTTAAAGAACAGAAAGTTATCGAAAATCGGGAGAGGGGGCGCAAACGCAGCCGTCACCAATTACAGCAGAGAAACGAAAGAGGCTGCGAGCACAAGGCAGCCGATACTGGGAGAGGGGGCGAGAACCGCTACCGTCACCAGGTATAAAACCAATAAACCAAAAAAGCTGACAACGTTAGCTGTATGGAAACTTAAGTTGGGAGTAGGAGCGAACAACGCTGCCGTCACCAATTAAGAGAGCAGACCAACGAAAAGGCTGCAAAAAAGGTTGATTTTGGGAGAGGGGGCGAAAACGCTGCCGTCACCATTCATAACTAAGCAGACCGATGAAGAAGGCTGCAAACAAACCAAAACAGGCTAACAACGTTAGCCGTCTCCAACTTCGGCAAACGAACTAGACCACACTTGGTTGGGAGAGGGGGCGAAAACCGCGGCCGTCAGTAATTATAGCAGCGCAGACTGGTGAAAAAAAGGATGCAAAAGTAGGGAATATACTGGGAGAGGGGGCGAAAACCGCTGCCGTCACCAGGTATAACACCAACAAACTAAAGAAGCTAACTACGTTAGCCGTATATAACTTCGGCAGTGAAGTTATTCACACTGGGAGTAGGGGCGAAAACGCTGCCGTCACCAGTTCGAAACAAAACAGCACGAAGCTGTAGGTAAAAAGCTAAAGTCGTGAGCCGGGAGAGGGGGCGCGGACGCTACCATCACCAGCAAACAACTTACTTACCTTCCGTATTCCTCAGAATTGACCCGTTGCAGCCCTGGGAGGGCGGAGAATAACCGCAACTCCGGTCAAGATACAGGGGCTTCAGACAACGGGGAAGTTAGCGAACCGCTTGCGAGAAGAAAAAACGAGCAGAGCAAAGGATGACACCAGGCTATATAGCTTCTGAGTGGTCATCCGGTGTCACAGGTTTGACTCTGTTGGTATAATTACTCGAACTGCGCATGCCCGAAGGGAACATTCAGTGCTTTCAGCACCGCCCTCTGGCGGTCAGTAGGGATGAAATAGAACTCATTAAATACGATTATAATGGCTTTTAACATGCTTTATTGAAAAAATATATATTGCGATATATTTGTGCGTAACTGCTTCGCGTTGATCGTAAAGCCATATGTTCAGAAAAGAAGCTTGAGGCGGAGAAAAAGCTAGAGAATGGGAAAATGTAAATTTCCACAAAACTGGCTGGAAAACGAGTTTTCGCCAGACGGTAAAGATGACGAAGGATTTTGCGGCGTATATATGAGAGTCATGGATACTTTTTGATGGCATTAAAGTTATTTCTAAGAGAATTAAAAAGCATTAAAAAACCCATCATGTTCTATTCCATCAGATGGAGGACTTTGTGGAGCCGAACGGGAAAATTTCCCTTCAGAGAGAAGAGATGCCTTCCAATCGGTAAATGATCCTCATTCCCTGCATAAAACAACCCTTCCCTATATGTTTCAGTTTTCTGTCAGCAGCATAGCTACCAGCTCTTCAGTTACTTTTCTATAATAGACTTTGTCCTCTGAATTCTGTTAAAGTGGAGAATCTGCAGTGTTGAGTTTCATCAACTGGCTGACGCCGAGCGGAGCTGAGCAGTCGGGACTCAGAGGGCCATCCACAGAGAATCAGGAGGCCAAACAGGCAGCGCTGCTCTGCATTAAGGTACCGTCACACACCCTGCACACACACTGTGCGAAATTTAGAGCTACAGCTCACACTGTGAGACAAAACCTCAGAGTTTGAAAGTTCCCAGCTCAGGAGGTTTGTTCTCAAACTGTTTCAATCCTTGTTTGCCCACTGAGCGATTTGCCTGCGACCACCTTACGACGGCCGAATGAATTCAAACACGTTTGATTTTCTCCTGACCAGGGGTGGATTTACCATTAGCCATTATTAGGGCAGTTGCCTTGGGACCCAAGTACCAGGGGGCCCCATAAAACTCCTTTTATATATGTGGTTAATTATTTGTGCACATTCATAATTTTTTGATAAAAATCATTTTGCTAAAATGCCATCAGAAAGCTTATATTGTGTCTTAGCCTGTAGCCAACTTCACACTTTTATCGCTATATTTAGCGACTTTTCAGACCCCTCAAGCACAATTTATTTCAACAAAGCACCTAGCGCCAAATCTAGTGACTTTATTCTGCTACTGGAGACTTTGGAGACAACATCTGAAAGCAGCGAACTCTGCTCTCCAGAGCCAGTAGATTGGTAACCCCGCCTCCTGCTCTCCTCTATCTTGTCTGCTGTCATGATTCATGCAGCTATTATTTCATCCAAATGAAAAATGGAGAACAGAGAAGCAGATCATGGCTTGTCTACAGTGAAAAGAAGGACTGGGTTATTTACTTTGGCCTTTTTGGAAACACAGGAAGGAGCAATCAGCTAAGTGAGCTTAGTGCTTGGAAAAAATCTTTCATTCCTTTAGAGACAGCATGAAAAATCAGCTGAGTACAAAACATAGAGAGGAAAAACAAGAAGAAAAGGGACAAGAAGAGAGGGACACAACCTAGAACAGATAATGGATGTCTATTCTATTAACATTTATCTATCTGTATAATGGGTCTGTTTTATGTGTTGTCTTGTCAATTCAGAGGGCCCCCTGCCTGTCTCTGCCTAGGGCCCCAAATTTCCTAAATCTGACCCTTCTCCCGACCTTACGATTCCTGATGGTGAGATGGTCGTGAGAGACTGATCGCCCCTCGTTACCCCCTGTTGACTACGCAATGCACGTTCAGGCTGAAAGTCGGCCCCATCGAAAAATTCAGGTCTGCCCGTAAAGGGCAAAAACTTGTACATACCCGGCTTGAGCCTTTGACTTTTCCACCAGCAGGAATCCCAGAGCAGCAGATTTAAATCTCTTCCAGCAGTGTTGCAGTTGTTTTATTAAAGCAGACTGCTTCCAGTTTGGTCTTCAGATGAGCAGTCTTATTACTGGAAGAAGGTCAGGGTTCAACGTCCAGTTTTTATCATCTGAGGCGGCCGGCGAAGGTGATTATGTTTTCAAAACAGCAGTTCCCCATATTTAAAATCCTGACTGGAGGCTCTTGATCTCGCAGTAATCATGACTATACGTTTGTTTAAAGCGCCTCTAAGGACTTATTATTCTGGAGAAATATCCTCATCCTCGTTGTGAAGAGGAGGCAGGAGCCACCAGAAGGTGTATGGAAGAGGAAGATCTAGACTTTTTTTATTGAAGATCTAGACTTAGACAGTTTTTATTGTTGTTTGTATAGAGTGTATACAAAACGAAATTTCGTTTTATACAGCTGTCATTACATCTCCATTCCTTAAAGTGCCATGGTGTGCTACATTCACACCGCGATTTAAACAGCAGAAGCACTGCTTCATTTCTGATGCTCATCAACATGAAGGTCAGACGTCCAGTAAAGTGTGTCCAGATGTGTCTGATGCTTCTGCTGCTCCTGTGTTCAATGGCAGAGAGCAGCTTTGAACTTTAAAATATTATTCCTCTGTCTGAGCCGCTCAGACCTCCACATACCGCCGGTGCACCATCACTGGGAATCCCCAGCAGCAGCTGCCTCAGGCCTGGTCACCTCTTGGGTTTTTTTTCCCTACTGTTGGTGGTGGCTGGAAGTAGATGTTAGCGTTTTTCAGCTCTATGGTACTTTAATCTGGATTTACAAAGGTGCAGATCAGTGAAAATCTGCAGACCAAGGGGCAGGCAGTGTTGCCAACTCAGCGACTTTGTCGCTATATTTATCGACTTTTCAGACCACTGCAGTGACTCTAATAGCAAATCTAGCGACTTTCCTGGTGTCTGCTGTTGGAGCACCTCACCCGTCCCAACCCCGTTCTCCCGCTTCAGCAGCACTCCCTCTCAGCGTTGCAGTCAGAACCACAGCATGTTTACCCTCAGCTACCAGACTGCAAATGAACCGCGCGCATGTGCAGGGATTGACGGCGCAGGTTGATCACGCTGAAGTCAGCTCCCTCAGTTGCTGAACCTGCCATAGTGAGCCTTGACCAACATGACGAGGACCCACTCAAGCACAGCCTGTGTGCGTGGAGGGAAATCTGCTTAGTTTAAAAAAAAATAAAATAACAATATTGACCATTATTTGCTCACATTGTCATTGATTCTTTGTAGCTTTTTTTTGTTCCATTTAGATTGTTAATTGTTGTTGTTCAAAATGTTCATGTTTTACCATGATTTTTAAGCTCCTTAGACAACTCGAAGACAACTCCCATCTGTCGATAATTCAATTCAATATTTTCAATTAATCGATTAATAATCAGATAGCCAAATGTTCCTTAAAGAAGATTTTTTACAGAATTAAACCAGGTGAAACTAAAACGTTTCTTCTTGAGGAGTTCTGGATAGAGCAGACTGACAGACGAATTTTTTTTATCTTAAATGCAAAATATATATATTTTTACAGTTTTCTTATAATTACTGCTCTAATTGGGTAATTCTGTCAGCTAAAGGCATGTTTTACAGTCTATATTCCAAAAAAAAATTAATGATTGAACTTAATTAATCTCACACTGGAGAAATGTACCTCTGCGTTTAACCCATCCCCTTGGGGAGCGGTGGTTCTTTGAGCTTGAAAGCAAACAGGAGGATTTTGAACTGAATCCAGTGAAGCTCCATTAGGAATGAGTTGATGAAGTGAAATGAGGGTTTGATTATTTCTGGACCATCTGAAGCTGATAGTCTGCCGAGGAAGACCAACGAGGCCATGGTGATGTTCCTGCCTGCGGGCATCACCATGAAGTCTGACAGGAACCCTGTGATCTGACCTTTGTGGAGTTTGGATTAAGATTATCTCTATTTGGCCAGGGAGAGGCACAGTCTAATATTTAATCTCACACCTTCAAGGACCTTTAATGTTCCTTTAGGATGAATAAAGTGTTCCTTCTTCTGTTTCTTCCAGGAATCTGACCCAGAGAAATTGATCACTGAGAGTAAATTCCTCCAGCTGGAGTCTCTGCAGGAGCTCATGAAGGTTTTCCATCTTTCTACCTGGATGTCTTCTGTTCTCTTCTGTCAAGTTTCACATATTTCAATAACTCCCTCATGTGCGCCTCCCCTCTAAGGCCCTGATATCCGTCAGTCCAGATGAAGACACCTACGATGAAGAGGATGCTGCCTTCTGCCTGGAGATGCTGCTGCGGATTGTTCTGGAGAATAGGTGTGTGGACCTTTTTCAGAAGTGCTGTAGGAGTGTTTCTCTTTTATTAACCGATGTTTCTGCATTGGAAGGGACCGCGTGTCATGTGTCTGGCAAACGGTACGGGACCACCTGTATCACCTGTGTGTTCACGCCACGGAGAGCTGCTTCCTGGTGGAGCGAGCCGTGGTGGGTCTTCTTCGGCTCGCCATCCGCCTGTTACGGAGAGAAGAGATCAGCTCTCAGGTACGGCAGCGACACCATCAGCTTCCTTTCATCTCCGCACCAAGAGGCAAACTCTTCCTGGTTTCTTTAGACAAGCTTGATATGAATAATAAGAAAGAGATCCAGTAATGAGAAATTAAGCAAAGGTTTGAAATGAAGGGAAACTTTGCTGGTGAAGATTCTCAATTATCCAGGTCATAGTCATTCCAAAAAAGTTGAAAAACAATCAACTGGACTTTGTTTCCAAGTTTGAAGACATTTCGCTTCCCATTCAGGAAGCTTTTTCAATTCAAAATGTCAGAAACAGCGTTGAGTTTGAGGCTTTATACAGTAGCCCAAAAAAGCCTTGTTTTTGCTTAGAAAACAAATTGAAACGGACGAACGAGTCCACCCCTTTTTAAAACGACCCCCATTCCAAAGGGGCGGACCGATTCTTCCGGTTCAATTTGCATCTTTTGGAACGTCCAATCAACAACTTTGAGGAGTCGTCATAGTTTTCGGGTTGCTTTACCACAGTTGGCGAGATATATTTTCAGACCAAGTGAATCTTTATCTTTTCATCACATAAAAAAGCCATGTTATTTATCAATATTTTTATATAATTTTATATAATAATTAATCTTAATAATTTATAAGCCAACAGTGTATTCGTTTGCTCCTCCTTCTCTGGTATACTGAGAATAGTATGCTGATCTATTTAAATGTGCTGGTTGGATGACAACGTCCTCTTCCCTCCTCGTCTGCAGGTTCTTCTCTCTCTGCGTCTACTCCTCATGATGAAGCCGCATGTGTTGTCCAGGATGAGCAGGGAGATAGCTTATGGCCTCCATGAGCTGCTGAAGACCAATGCAGCTAACATCCACTGTACAGACGATTGGTACACACTCTTCTCCCTGCTGGAGTGCATCGGAGCAGGAGTCAGACCTCCGGCCTCCTTCCAGCTCAGCTCCTCTACCACCGACCATGAAACAGGTTCGAACCGTCCTCCGCTTCCATTTCTATTAATCTTTGAAAACATGGATCCTGTAAAGGTTGAATCACTGGAGGTTTAAAGGTGGATCTGTTCTGACTGTAAAGAACAACTCTTCATGGCAGCAGAGATTTTCCTGTAGTCTCAGTGGCCACAGTCCAGGACGTTGCATGGAGAAGCAGAGAAATAAGCGTTCCGCAGGGCTGGTTGCTCATGGATAAGGAGCTTAAAACATTGAAGAAGAGCTCAAACATTGAATACTATGGAGGCTGAATTGGTCAAATTAACTTTGTTAAACATCATGAATGTGGTCATTAAACTGAAATGTGTTTTTTATCTAAATGTAAAGTGTTAAATGTTCAAACACCAAGAACAGGGAGAATATCTGCTGTGAGAAACGAATGTTCAGCAGAATGACGACTCTGACTCAAGACTGACCACCTCCCTCTGTGTGGCCCCTGTCAGCCAATCAGCAGCCAGCTTTACGACCCACCCCCACTCCATAGACCCTATCAGAAGCTGACTGCTGTAGGGCAGAGGAGAGAGAGCGGCTGAGCTGCTGTTTATTGAGTTTATTGAACAAACAGATGAAATCAGGAGCATATTAATGCAGTTCAGCAAGTACAATCATGAACTTTAACTATGCTTGTTTGAAAGATGGCTTTACTAAATTTAAATCAAAGCTTCAGCCTCCCTCAATGAGAAATGGCAGCTGTGAGGAATTGCTGCATGGACTGTTGAATGTTATCTTAGGGCTGTCAACTCACAACTCAAGCATCTCAGTTTCTTTACACTCCATATCCGCAATTTTTCACGCTGTTTGGACTGAAATCACACAGATGTCAGATTGCTGTCAGGTTTGCGTCCACACAGGAGCAGCAGGTCTAGGTCTGCAGGCAGAAGTAAACAGTTTTCCATATCGCAGTAAGGTCCTGCAATGAAGGCATCTGGAAAAGCAGGAAAGCTTTGATGACTGATGCAGAGAAAAATCTAAATAAAATCCTTATTTAGCTCTACGCTGAAATCACACAGCGCTAGCATCTAGCAGGAACCCTTCAGGTGTTTGGATGTTTCTTCTGAGCAGCTCGGCTGTTTTTCTGATGCTTTCTCTGCAGGCGCTCAGTCAGACAGCGAGCTGTCGTCTCATCATTCCAATGAAGTGAGTTTAGACCGTGGCTACACGTCTGACTCAGAGGTTTACACGGAGCACAGTAAGACTCGGATACCTCGCTCCACTACTGATGTGGACGTAGCCAGCAGCGGATGGCTGGTGGTGAGTCTGCATAACTTCTAGAAATGTCTGACAGGCAATGCTGATTCTAGTTTAGATCAGATCCCCCAGCACCAAGTTTCTGGTTTCTGTTTCCAAATGTCTCTTTTTCATAAACTTGGCAAACAGCGTTTTTATTCTTTTCATTTTTTGAAATTTTACCCTGAAAGCATCTAAAATGAAAAACATCTACTGATATTTGATTTTAGATTTAATGTCGTTTTTTAGGATCTCTGGACATTTTCTTATACTTTTATTTTTTTTCTTAGAGATGTAGAGATTTTTACTGAATACATATAAAGCTTATTTTTTTATTTTATTTTGATATTTGGGGCATTCTTTAACTGTCTGACGTTCTGATGAATTATATGTTGGGAAGCATTTCTGTAACGTCATTTTTATCCTCCTTCACTCTAGGTTGGTAAAGATGATCTAGAGATGGCGAAGCCCGGCCAAGGCGGCGCCAAAGCTCAGCTGAATCACCCGCTGGTCAACCAGTACAGCCTGACTCTGGGTCAGGACCTCGGCCAACACGACACTAAGTCCCTCATCAAGTGTGTGGAAACTCTTTCCTTCATCGTCCGCGATGCCGCCCACGTCACGCCGGACAACTTCGAGCTGTGCGTTCGAGCCATCCGGGTGTTTGTGGAGGCCAGCCTGAATGGAGGTAAGTACACCCCGCTGCAGCAGCTAACAGAGGCGTGGGAGATGAAGGAGGGATGGAAGGATGTTGATCTTTTCCTCCCTATTCCACCTATGCAGAACCCTCTGGCATCTATGGGCACCATGCTTGCTCTGCTCACACGACGAAAACGGAAAATGTTTGGTTTCATGACTGATATTATATTTGAATTGAATGGAAAGAGGAAAATCTGCTTCTGGTGTCTTTTACAGAAAAACAGATAGCTTTGAACAAGTGTGCTGATTTTCCTCTTTTTTCCAATTATTTTTAAACCCTAATCCTCAAATGAAAAGTTAAACATGATAAAATATCATAAAAACAATTCAGAAGAGCTTGTTTGACTTTCCCTGTTGAATCTCCAGGTTACCGCAACCACGACAAGAAGAAAAACCACAAATACGACTCCAAGTCCAGGACGAGGAAGAAGCCTGCGGGTCGGGACCGAGAGGCGGGGGGTGGCGCGAGGCGAGGCGCGGGCCGAGTGTCGAGTCAGCGTCCATCTCGTTCTCACAGCGATGATGAGGAGGATGAAGGCGTGCCGGCCAGCTATCACACCGTGTCTTTACAGGTTAGTCCAGATGTAAGTACAGTAGCCCTCTTTGCTCCTCTACTTTAGAACAGACAGACAGAGAGACAGATGGCTGGTCTGATGGAAGGACAGACAGTCGGACAAACGGATGGTCTGACGGACGGACATTGAAATGGATTGACGGACAGACAAAGAGATGGACAGACCGATGGACGGAGAGAGAGAAGGACTTTACCTTCTTCTCCTCTTATAGTTAAAAACAAATAAATTTTCTTTCTACTTCATGGATTTCATGTCTCCATGCTTTGGTTGAAATGGATGTGATGTCATCAGTTGACAATAAGTCCTCCCCTGCAGGAGCAAACTCTGACAACTTTACCAGGCTTTGATAGGAAGGCAGAGCGGAAATGTAGTTAAAAAAAACAAAAAGCTAAATGTTGTTGAAATACACACAGTGGATTATTAACTGTTTCCCAAACCAAAGGAACCTTTAATAGATTAACAAACGCTGCTGCTGGCGGCATGAGAAGCTCAACACAGCAGAGCTACTTCACTGACAAGCATTTCTGCACAGGTGGAGCAATCTTGCAGTTGGTGCCACTTTAATGGAACTAAAAATGTCGACCTCCTCCTCCCTTTAGTCTATTGTTATTCCATCCAAGTCATTCCACCACATTTAAACAATCCACTGCCAATGCCATAGCAAATGAACTCAGACAAGATGCTGATTTGCCAGAAGACAACGCAGTTTCTAACGATCATGTTCGTCTCGACTGCTAAAGAACAGAGAGAATCCTACTGTAAGAAACAACCTCCCAAGCAGATCTGGACCCAGCAGTGTTGCAAAGTTTGGACGAGTTAGCTCGCCGCTTGTACTCTGCCGCGGTGAAGTTAGTTTTACGCTGGATATTGGACAGAATTATAATTAGAATTAGTCCTCTTCTTCGCTCTGGGAAGTCTATAATACGGATGCACCTGAAGTGTTGGAGCAGCTGTCTCAGATGGCAGTGCACCCGAAACAAAGAAGAGGATTAGACGCAGGAAGTAGCGATTTAACCAGAGCAAATGTCTGTCGAACATAGCTACTTTTTCAAATAATTTTATATTATCAAGTCCTTCAAATTTTTTTCCTGTATGTATTTTTAATTATGGCAGGATTGGTCCTCCATATTTTTTGAGCTAATCCTCCTCAGATATTAACAGATTACCCTCCTCCCACTTTTTCCTCTTCTAATCTGCAGTGTGGGACTTTGCAGACTATAGACTTTAATATATTCTGGAGATGACACCCTGGTTTGATTTTTTTCTTGATAAGCATCAATAAAGATTTTAAATATTGGGCCATTGATGACGATCAGTTTTTAAAACTAACATATATTCATTATTTTCGTCTTCTTTTAGTGAATCGGTTCAGTTTATATAATTTTCCTGCTGTTTGTGTCCAAGCAGCTGCTGGACCTGATGCACACTCTTCACACCCGGGCCGCCAGCATCTACAGCTCCTGGGCGGAGGAACAGCGCCACCTGGAGGCCTCTGGGAAAAAGATAGAAGCTGACTCTCAGACATTGTGGACCAGCTGCTGGTGTCCTCTGCTGCAAGGTGGGCTGAGAAGGAAGGCACCTTTAAAAGATCCCATCTTTAAAAGATGGGAAAACTTCCAACCAGGCTAAATGAGAAAGTCATTGGAGCTGCTGGTAGTTTGAGAGCGAATGAAAAAAGAAAGATGAGGTTCTAAGCAATAGAGATGGAGAAAATACTCATGATGATCAAAAACATTTTAGGAAATTAAAAAAATATATACTTAGTGAAATCCTTTGAAAAATCTACATTTCAAGCCAGTAGTGTTATTGGAATCCAGGTCAAGACCTTATTACCTATATAAAATAAAAAAATATTGACATTTTGATGGCAAATATGAATGCCAATGTAATAACAAGAAACGCCAACTTGCCCGAATATATTAAGAAAAATAACAAAAGTGCTTCTAAAAGAAATTCATGAAAAAAAAACAAAATTTTTTATGGTGCAACATAACCTTAGAGGCATTAATGCTGATACTGGCTGCAGAGCATATGTCATTTAGAGCGATGCTTTAGAGGTTATAAGACATTGTCAAATATTTCATCACTAAATGTTATTTTAGTCTTTAAATGTAGAGCAGCCAACCTGTCCTCCTGCTGCGTTCAAGGAATGAGGACTTTTTCTGTTCCAGGATCAATATTTGATGAATGATAAAAAGTTATTGAACAGCTCATGACATCTTCTCTCAACGCTTGTTCTTCTCTAGGCATCGCCTGGTTGTGCTGCGATGCCAGGCGACAGGTCCGCATGCAGGCCCTAACTTATCTCCAGCGAGCCCTGCTGGTCCACGATCTGCAGACGCTGGATGCAGCCGAGTGGGAATCCTGCTTCAACAAGGTGAAACACTGGGATCATTTCTCAGGTCCTAGACTAGTGGAGAAAAAGTATTCAACTATTCACCCCAGTTAAATAAACAGAGGCTTTATTTTCTTATCTTTGCAAAGAGAGAACAGTTCATTATACAGCCTTTACGGCACAGTAATCAGCCCTGTTCTCAACTAGACAGAGTTTGCCTCCCTTACTTATAATGAGATTTAAACTGTGAAGGTTGTGCCAGAGTCGAAACATATTACACATACTTTGGTTAAAAAGTAACAATTCTTGAAAAAGAATTTGGCTTGTTATGGGATAAGTAATCCTTGCATGCAAAACACTTCTCACTCAGACATTTTGTGGCCATGCAGGTGAAACAGACTGAGCAAAAACATTTTTCACTGGATAAATAGCATAGCTAAATATATGAGAAAAAAAGAAATCTAAATTTTACTATGCAGCCTTTTCTTAAACATCTGTTACATAATTTAAGAGCTGCTTTGCTGCTATTGTGCTTGTAGGTTCTGTTCCCTCTGCTTACGAAGCTTCTGGACAGCATCAGTCCAGCAGATGTTGGTGGGATGGAGGAGACCAGAATGAGAGCCTGCACTCTGCTGTCAAAGGTTGGAAGCCACACATCGTGCAGCGTTCGCTGTCAGCAGCAGCCAAGGATTCTGTCTGTTAAAGGAAAATAAGCAAGGAATAATCAATTGATCATTATTTATGCCTAAAACTAATACGTATGCTGTGATTGAATTAAGTGTTAATCAGTAAAAAACTAAAAAATTTCATTGCAATCAGTGAGTCTGGGAGCGGCCATTTTTACTTCAACATAGTAGCCCCTCCCTCCTGCCATCTTCTGTTAGTGACGTCACGGTGCGGTAAGCCTAGCGCCATTCTCCCCGCTTTACAAGCAGAATCAATGGGAACTACTAGACACATCTGCAATCAACAACAATTATTGAAGATTTCCAGAGGACTTCACCATTGAAATTCACCAGAGCTATAGTGAAACTGACAATGCCCACGTGCATGGCAGCTGGATGTTGGAATACATCGGGTAAAAGTTATTTCACCTTTCTGATTCCTGATCCTCCACTGACGGGTTCGTCGTTGGATTTGCCATCGAACTTCTGGCAGAGAAAAAACACGTAATATGTTGCCAACATCAACGGCCGTTACCGCACCGTGACGTCACAAACCAGTAGGTGGCAGTAGTGTTCTTTGACCAACACGGATGCCTCCAATAAAGCACATTCAATGGAAAATTACTCTTAATTAAAAACACTTATTTATTGAACAGTATGGAATAATTTCATATTTAAAGTACTTTTAGAAGCTTAAATTCTTAATATGAGCGGACTTTTCCTTTAAACGAGGCTCTTTTTTTATTGACCCTATGGTTCAGTTCTTCACGTCTCCCTGATGTTTGTCAGAGGGACGCCGGCTGGCTGTAGCTGTTATCGCTGCTTCCCGATGCCATGTTTTTGAAGGAAGATCCTCTTTAGCTGAATCTGATCCTGTGTAGCTTGTTTGCTAACCTCTGGTGTGTTGGGCTCTTCCAGGTCTTCCTGCAGCATCTCTCTCCTCTGCTGTCACTGCCCACCTTCGCTGCCCTCTGGCTGACCATTCTGGACTTCATGGACAAGTACATGCATGCAGGATCCAGCGACTTACTGGTGAGGTTAACAGCTCCCACACACTCTTCTACTTCTGCTCTGTTCGTCTCACCCGCTATTCCATAGTTAAAGCCCCTGTCACTACTTGGTGATTTAGACCAGATTATGCCTGACGTACGAAAAATCTGGCAAAAACACTGGCATACGTTGGATAAGTTATGGGTACGTTTTGTGTAAGTTATGAGCTGAAACACATCGACATACGGTGAGTACGTTGAGGAATTTAGCCTATCCTAAACCTCTGAATAACTTTTGCATAACTTCTGTGTAACTTATCAAGAACGTCTCTCCAATACATATCAACATATCTGACGTGTTCCAGACGAGCGCTGAACGGTTTCTAACTTCCAGCTACTGTATAATGGCGTATTGGCAGCGTTTTGGTATAAAGGGGGTTCACAGGAGAAAACCATCAGTTCTTCTCCAGACTTCATCTCCATCATAGGGTGAGCCAGAAGGTGATGGATCCTCCCTGCGTTCACGCCCACGAACAAACAAACCTCCTTGCAGACATGATGCTAAATCTGCTGCCACTGCAAACCTTCTTTCTTTTCCTTCTTTTTTTTGGGTGGGCGGTAAACAGCAGCTAGGTTAAGACCGTGATCAAAGAAATGTTTTTATGCAGACCGGGTGCCTCTGGGTGCATCGCTGCTCTCCTCAGCAGCAGGGATGCTCCTGAGGAGAGCAGCTTTAACTGAGGCTTCACATCATCCCGGTAGCGTTATTCATAAGTTAGGCTGTCGTTGGACATAAGTTCTGGACTCGTTATGAATCTTCTAGGTCAGAGGTCATGGATTAACGCACCACAGTCAGGATCCGGATCCACTGCTGGCTAATCCGGACTCAACCTGATATAAAACATTTATAAATTACTGCATATTGTCCGACCACATTGTCTAATTTCACTTATACTGCTTCTCCTGTTAATATGGTAAAGCCCTCCAGAACGTCCGGCTCCAGCTTCATGTGATACTAATGATCCAATGAGCTGCTGTCAGTGTGGGTTGCTGCTGCTGCTACTTTTAGACACAGCAGGTAAACCTGTGGCAAGCCGGGCGATGGGAAAGAAGGAGAAGACGATGAGAAAAAGAGAGCAGAGAAAGTGTGGACTGCTGGAAGAACTGTGGTGAACTGGTGAAAGAAAAGTGAAATGGTGCTCAAAGATGACCCTGAACATTTAGAGGATGTTTGGCTCAACCTGCTGCTGTGAAGCAGGATTCTCCACCATGAACAGAATCAACAGTAAATCTGGATCCAGGCTCAGAATGAGCTCCTTGATATGTGCTTTAGAATGGCTTAGTCTCCATTCAAACCAGGTTTAAAGCCTTGCAGGGCAGCAGAAAGCCCACTGCCAACATTAAGATGGAAAAAAGGAAGAAAATGAGAAACAGCCAGTTCAGGTGTTTTATAAAATATTTAGATCAGGATATTGTCTTTATACCAAACTGAACGATTGTTGGTCTCTACTGTAAAAAACACTTTAGATTTTAAAATGGAAAAAATACTCATTTTATTTTATTTCAGTGTTAAATTCTGTTTAAAGTAACAGATTATAATTAAAATTGTCTCCGGACCTTAATAGTTGATGATTTTCTTTATTTGGACGCCGCTGATATTTAATTAGTTCTCCCTTCTCTTTTTATACACCCAAAATAGAAAAAATACATAGAAAGTTCAGCGTATGGCAGCGTTTTCATGCGGTTCTGGGACGTCTGGCTTACGCTGGCTAAATCAGCAAGCTGTGACTGGCTCCTAAAGTACTGATTACTTTCCTTTCTTATCATGTCTCCGTTAAGCTGGAGGCCATTCCTGAGTCTCTGAAGAACATGTTGCTGGTGATGGACACTGCAGGGATTTTCCGCAGCTCCGACTCTCGGACCGGATATTCGGACCTGTGGGAAATAACGTGGGAACGCATCGTGTGTTTCCTCCCCAACCTCAGAGAGGAGCTCTTCAAGCAGACCGTTATTCCAGGTGAGAAGACAACATTTCAGGATTTCTCTATAGATAAAGAGATGAATCAACAACAAATGAAATGAAGCTCAACAGGAAATATTTCTGGGTATTTTATTATACGATTAAACTCTTAATGATCCGTACGGTTATTCATAAAATGAACCCGCTAACATCTGTAGTTGTAGAAAAATGTCATTTATTTAGTTAAAAGCTTCATGAGCCTTTAACCATCTGCACTGATGGATTTCTCTCTAAAAGATCATTTATTAGTACTTTTAAACATTTTTGAAGTCATCTCAATACTTTCCAAATTAGGGATTGTAACAAATAATCAATAACAGTCCATTATATAAAGATTTCTTCCATCTATTTGATAATCAAATGAAATAAATTTCTTCCTCTTCCTTTCACCAGAGGGCGCTGTTGTAAAGTCTGAATAAATTTAGCAGAAGTAATCCAGAGAGGAGCCATATAGAGCAGAGATCTCAGTTAATCCAGAGCCGCTCCAGATTATTTCCACTGATTAATGGATTCAAGGATCTGCAGCTGTAGATCTGGGCAGCTGATAGAGAATAGCCTGTCTGTTAATGATAGATCTACGTCTCTGTTCATTGAAGGTCACAGATCTGTTTAATCCAGTAACACAGAATGGTTCCTGCTGGTGAAATATAATTATTTTCTAACTGTAAAAAAAAAAGAAAAATTCACCCTTTATTTTCAGGAAAGATCATTTTAAAACGGTTATTTAGAAAATGGCTCAATTGGCTCGGTGGAGTTTAGTTGAATGAATGGAAACATCTGGAATCCAGATGCAGCTTCTCTTGTTGCTCAGCTCTTAATTTGAAGGAGCCGCTGCTTCTGGTTCCTGTCTGTTGTTGCAGATGCGGCTCCTGCTCCTCAGGCCGAGCCGGCGCAGTCTACACCAGCAGCGGAAGCAGCCGCCCCCCCTCAGTTGGCCCCGCCTCTTTCCCAGCCCTCCCCGTCCATCCTGATGGCGGCGACATCCACAGAGACGCCGGCGTCCGTTAACCCAGATTCCAGCCAGGAGCCTGTGGCGGCGGCAGCTGCCAGTGGTACGAACTCTTCGTCTCTTAGGATCCTTGCTGCGTTTAGAGAACGACTAGTAAAAACCAGCAGCGTTTAAAATAGAGAATTCTTTTTTTTCCTTTCAGGCTCCGATAGCTCGACTCCGGTGACGCCATCGCCAGGAACCTCTCCTGCTCGCTCTCCCTCCCCTCCAACTCAGTCCCCTCTCATCCTGCAGCCGCTGGCGTCTCCCCTGCAGGTGGGCGTCCCCCCCATGCCTCTCCCCATCATCCTGAACCCCGCCTTGATCGAAGCCACCTCCCCCGTGCCGCTGCTTCCGGGGCCCAAACCCGCCGCCGCCGCTGCTGCCGAAGACTTCCAGTAGGAGAAATCCCCTCAGTGGCGTTTTGCTGCTTCCATGGCAACAGCGTCACCTGCTTCACAGCTTGTTTAGGTGTACATATGGGACACTGTTCAGATGTGCAGGTGGTTTTCTCCGTCTCTCTCTCTCTGTCTGTGTTCTCTAACTCTCAGCAGATGTGGAGGAAAGTAACTCTAATCCAGGAGGACGGCTCTGAAAAAACAAACGTCTCCTTTTGTAAAAAGATAAAAGAGATCTGGGGTGTTTTGTTTTGTCCACCGAATCAAAAAAACTGACTTTATTCGCTGTCTTCAGATATTTTAAAGTTATAACAGCATGTATATTTTAAACTGAGACAATAAAAGGAACAGACTGAACATTTCTTTGACTTTTATTCATGGCTGTATCGTCACCATTCACTGTTTTCATGGTTTCTATTGATTCCTCTCAACCTGAAACAATAAGTTTCTTCTGTTCGTAGATTTTAATCAAATATAGTTTGAAGTATTTTGAGGAGAACCGTTATCACTGAGTGAGTGTGTCAGCAGATAAAGCGTTCTGCATCATTTCTACTCCCTTTGCAAAACAAACAGCTTATAGTATAAATCATTTGGTCATGCTAGTAATAGAGCAGCTGCACTGGAGAGGCAGATAATGATGGATGAAATGAATTGTTTCACAAGAAGTTGGCCGAGTTTGTTTTGTTAGCATCCCCATTGGCTCCTGTTAAAGGAAAAGCAAGGAATAATCAATGGATCACTATCTATAACTAAAACTAATACGTACTTGTACTCGTCGTCTCCCGCTTTATCCGGAACCGGGTCGCGGGGGCAGCAGACTAAGCAGAGACTCCCAGACTTCCCTCTCCGCTGACACCTCCTCCAGCTCCGTTGGGGGAAGCCCTAGGTGCTCCCAGGCCAGCCGAGAGACATAGTCTCTCCAGCGTGTCCTGGGTAGTCCCCTGGTCCTTCTCCCAGTGGAACGTGCCTGGAACACCTCCTGAGGGAGGCGTCCAGGGGGCATCTGAAGAAGATGCCCGAGCCACCTCAACTGACTCCTCTCGATGTGGAGGAGAACCGGCTCCACACTGAGCCTCTCCCGAATGACCGAGCTCCTCACCCTATCTCTAAGGGAGAGCCCAGCCACCCTGCGGAGAAAGCTCATTTCAGCCGCTTGTATCCGGGATCTCGTTCTTTCGGTCATGATCCAGATTTCATGACCATAGGTGAGGGTAGGAACGTAGACCGACCGGTAAATTGAGAGCTTTGTCTTTTCGCTCAGCTCTCTCTTCACCACGACAGACCGGTGCAGCGTCTGCATTATTGCAGCAGCCGCACCGATCCGGCTATCGATCTCCCGCTTCATTCTTTCCTCACTCGTGAACAGGACCCCAAGATACTTGAACTCCTCCACTTGAGGCAAGGACTCTCCTCCAATCTGATAAAACTAATACGCTCCTGATTTAATAAATTTAGCGTTAATCAGTAAAGAAACAAAACCAGGTCGTCTGCGTGTGTGTCGCAGTGAACGCAGATATGCCCCGCCCCCTTCTATCTTTTTTGCCCTCATGTCCATCCGTTGTCGCACAAACTCGCCCCACTTCCTCACCGCCTCGGCCGTATCTAGACCCACAGCTAGTTCCTGATTGGCCCTCTTGCGTTGTGGCGTGGAATAACATAGCGCAGACCACGCTTCAATATCCCGCATAAATCAAAAATATCTGCGTCAAGCTCACTGTGACTGTGGGAGGATAACCAGCCCTTAAGTATGGGAGCGGCCATTTTTGCCTGAATATAGTAACACCTCACTCCTGACATGTTCAGGCAGTGATGTCACGGTGCGGGAAGCCATGTGCTACTGAAGCTAATGACTGTTAGCTTTGGGTCATCATCTGGAACAGCAGCAATCTCCGATCTAACGAGGTGGCCACACTGCAGCCTGTGGTTCTTTGAATGTGGAGCTGGAAGTGGAAGAGCTGCGGGGAAACGTTAGCAGGTTCTTAAGAACAATCCGTCTGTGCTTGGTTCAAACATTGGCTAATGTTCTCTCTCACCCTGGGTGGGTATGGCCATTGGCAGCTGCTCAACAACCAAGCAACTATTTCAATGAGGACACAAAAAAACATCCTTCTTCTCCCACTTTGAAAGCAGCTCAGGATCCTGGGGAGCGTTGGGTAATTGAGTTAACTGTTGGTTAAAACATTTATACTTTTTTGTTGACATTTTGGTGAACAGAAAGGTATAAATTAAAGTTTGTTTGCAGAGTGGCACAGTTTGTTGGTCCTGAGTTCAATTCACAGCCTATGTGTTTTCTGCATGGATGTTTGCTTCCTCCTAGTGCGATGACTGGTAGGTTAACTGGCATCTCTCAATTGCTGTGACTGGCGACCTGTAGGAGGTCCCCGCCTTTTACTCCCTGATCCCACCATGACCCTGATGGAGAAATGGAAGAAGATGGATAGAAATTAACACTTTGAGTTTTTGCATAACAGAATAAAAGTTTAAAAAAATGTTGCAGTAAGCTGCCTATCAAATCAAATATGAAATAAAGCTTTCCCACGCCGTTCCAAGATTTCCTTATATATGCTTGGACTTCAGTTAAAACATATTGGTGACTAATGAACCTTCAGAACTAATATCCAGATCCATGTTTTTGTGTATTATTTCAAAACAGTTTAGTATTTTTCGAATGAGTATCAATAAAATTTCTGTGATGGGCAGGCTTTGACCTTGATCAAATCAAAGCCCAGATAATCCTTATCTCAGTGATTCCTCCTGATCCTGACTATAAGAATAAAAATAAACCATTTCATCTCTACTTTAGGTTTTTTCTGGTTCAAAGGTTCTACTGTACAAGAAGAAGTTTTTTAACTGAGGCTGGAGGAAGGACATGAAGACCCCCCCCAGAATGTGTGCCGGACCGCTTGAGTCCGTCTCCAGACCTAATGTCTATTGGGCATCTCTTGGTCACCTTAAAACAGAAGGGGGGAGAATGTGAGGAATCATTGGCAGAGTTACAGAAGAGTTGGAAAATAATTTAGAAATCAACACTTAGAGCTGTATGCACTAGATCTACAGGTAGAGATCTGAACTATTAGATTAAAACTGCCCCTGATGCTTTCCACAATGAGCCAAGATACCTGCTAATACACAGCCTATCTTAGATGTCAGCGCACAGGTCAAAGGATGTTACAGATGTTTTTCTCACTTCCTAACATGTGTCCAAACTGCCTGTGGGTGATCTATGCACACTCTGTGGTGGCTTTGAGTGAACGTATGAGAGCACCTATCCACATGACGTCTGCAGGCATGCCGCCCTTTGGTGACTTCACAGAAGTGGATTTGTAAAACTGACAGATTCCACATCCTGCTCCCCGATCTAACCAGGATTCACACGACTTGCCTCAATCAGGTGAAAGCAGGCAAAGCTTTTTCTTGAAACGTGGAAAATTCATTAGTTGTCCAGATGAAATATCATAGGAGAACTGGTTTTATATGATGGTTTTATTGCTGCTCCGTCAGTCAAAGAGCTTTAACGCCAGTGCTCTATTCACCCAGTTTCACTCAGACTGGTGGGCAGCTGGGAGCCATCAGAACCACAGCCCCAGAAATAAGGAGTGGTTCCAGTTTCATGTTTCCACGCCAACCTTTTTAGTAGGGAGGAACATTTTAAATGATGAAAACAGTTTCAGACCAGTTCTTTATTAAAAAGAAGGGAAAAAAATCCTTAACTGGTTCATAATTTAAGTTTGGGTAGAAAGTAGGAAATGGAAATGACTGTTAGCCTGATCAGATGTTCCCCTGAGGAAGTAGTTTAAACCCTTTGACTGTGAGGCAGGGGACCTGAGATTGAATCCCTGTCCTGTCAGAGCGGCGTCTGATTTAAAAGCTTTGCCAAGTATGTGAGTATGACTCGCTGTAGCCACCACTGAATATGGGAGCAGCCGAAATGAAACAGTTTGACCTGTTTTTCAGTGTAGACCTGTTTCTCTTATCCCCCTTTCAAACTGGTCAAAAAACCCTTTTAAAGCCGGACACAAAATGATTATATCGGCAGTGGGAACCACGTACTGACCCTTGACGACCCGGTTCAATCGACTCGGCAAGTTAAAATCACATGCATGGAGTGCAACGAATGGACGTCAACAAACAGATCTAACACTTCAAAATATCTCTTTTTTAATATCTTTTTTTTTTTTAAACAGTGTCCTTGTTTGGCAATGTGGCAATAAGAATAACTGTCTTGATGTCAAAAAGAGCCCAACAGATATTACTTTCACAAGTGGAGCAGTACGACTATCACCATAGTGTTCCGCTTGATTTATGCATATAAATTGCTTTATTATAATTATGCAGGGAGTTTTACAGATTATATGGACACTGCAATGTAAGTAGAACAGAAGAGGAAAAACAGGAAAAAAGGAGAAAAGATGAAAGAAAGAGGAGATAGAAGGGAGATAATGATAAAATATTTTCAGTCTGCTTGATCACCTGCGAAGAGATGTAAAAAGAACAGAACAACCAACGGACATGGTACGAGACATACAATAAAGTAACACCTAGATACTGTCGTTGAAGAACTATTATTTAATCAGACTCTGTGTTACCTGAAGATAAGAGAGTTGGCTTTCTGTATTGAAGTGAGTCTCTAAGTACCTGGAACCTAGCACCTGTAGTTGTTTGTGAAAGTGCACTTGTGCATGTAAAGTTTATCCATAGAAAAAATGCTCAATAGTGGTTGTGAAGAACCGAAGAGGCGCCCCCCCAGAGCACTGAGTCCAGCGCCGGGAGACCCAAAGCCCCAGACGCCCAAAGGAACCCCAAGAGCGAAGGCAGCAAGGAGGGGCCAGCCCAGGAAATTAGACCCTCACCAAGGGAGGAGGAGAGACAGCCCCGAGGAAGTCCCCTAGTCAGCACAACTCTTGAGCCGCGGGGAAGAGTTCGCGGGCTCAACCGGCAGCCAGCCACCCCGAAGTGAATCCAGCCACGGGACCCAGGGATCCAAAGCCCCAGGGGTGCCCCACCACCCGGCAGGAGCCCCAGCCGGCCGGCCGGGCCCTGTGGAGAAGCTGCCAGGAATGAGCCAGTAGCCACCCGGGCATCCATCCCCAAATCCAGTGCACTGGCGAGCCCAGGCACCAGCCAGCGGAGGGAGAGCAGGAAGGGGGGAATGGGCTCCGCACTTGGTGGAGACTTGAGATGTGCTTGGGAGAGGGAGCAGTTCTTCACTTAAAAATATCTCTGCTAGCATTCGATAAACATGGAGCAGCACTGCTAAGAGGAATTCAAAGAGACAAAAGAGCGAAACAATTAAGCACACCGACTACTCCATGGCTTCCTTCCATGTTGCTCTCCATTGTTTACTTTCCGGATTTCTA